ATAGGAGGTTTATAGTCTGAGGCCAGTCGCAGTCAAAAACATGAGACTCTACTGGAAAAAACAAAAAGTCCTAGAAATGCGGCTCAAGTGGTAAGAGTGCTTATCTACCTGAGTTCAAACCCTAGTCCTGCCCAAAAAAAGAAATAGATGAGAGAAGTGAAGAGAATTTAAAGAAATGAAGGTTATGGTTTTTGCCCCCTTTATCTCCTCAGATCTGTTGGGAAAGATAAAAAAGCTATTCAGGCATCAATTAGACGCAATAAGGAAACCAACACAGTTTTGGCCAGATTGAATAGTGAATTACAGCAACAATTAAAGGTAATGTGGTTTCTGAATCTTTGTTTGGGGAGTTCCAGGGATGTAGAACATCTCAGAGTTTCCAGGGAAGTTGGAGGTGATCCAACAATTCTTATGGTTGTATGAAACTCTTCTCATAACAAAAGAAATGTGCATTTAAAAATGGTGTACAAGCCATTGAATCTTTCAGTACTAAAAGTAATTTTTAACTAAAATTTGGATAGACATTGCTTTATCCTACATACATTATAAGACATCACTATTTCTAAAATATTCACAAAGAAACTTAGAGAAGAAATATTGTGACTTTAAGTTCCTCCAAGAACATATACATGGCCCTCTACACTGTGTAATCCTTAGATGATTTGACTGTTGTTAGTTTAGCCTTTCATCAGACAACTCAGATTCTATTAAAGGAACTTAAGTCTAAAGAAGACAAGAAGTGCGGACAATTTATATCATCTTGCATGTGAAGAGAAAATGCAAACCTTAAATAAAAATGGTGCTTCCATTCAGTATCCCACTGTCATCTAATACTTGAGAAGAGTGAGATTATTTTCCTACTTGTAACCAACATTTATTTGAATTCTTATTGAATAAATACTATACTCAGAATCACTTACCGTTCACCCACATTTTTAAGCACTAATGACTTATAAACCAGTAGTTCTCAAATGTTAATGTAGATACAGATATAATCTAAGGCCATATTCCAACAGATTCTGATTTAGTATGTCTGTTGGGATCTGAGAATTCTACATTTCTAAGTCTTTCAGGTGATGGAGATGCTGCTGTACTGCTGGCCTCACGTTAGATAGCAAGGTTGTAATGCACAAAGATGAGGAGAAGAGATTCCCTGGAAATGTAAAATGGACACATAGTTTATTCCCATAACGTTCCGTTCATGTCCCTCATCTAGCATTTATCACACTGTTCCAGAATTGTTATCTATGACACATTTGTCTCTGTCCTACTGAGCAACTCACCGAGGGTAAATCATAATCATTTCTGCTTAGGATGACCACATAGTGTTTGTCCAAACCAAGGCACTTTTGAGAGAAAAGAGGGAGGATTTCATTAATATTTAGCATTTGGCTGTATAAACTGGAACTGTCCTAGATAATTTATGGCCATTTTACGTGTAGCATATATTAGACATTTGTTTAATCTCTCACATGAATGGTATTATTGTACAACCCTTTGACCAGAGGAGAAAACATTTGAAGTTGTTAGATGTTTATGAATTTGGTCCATTGTAAAAGAAGAATGCAAAATTTAGGACAAGCTTATCTAGTACGATACTTTGAACATAAAAATTTTGTTAATGTGTATTTTTCTAAAGAACTAGAGAATATCATAGAAAATAAAAAGGAGCTATTTTGAAAATCACTTTCTTACTATCTCTGAGAATAGAAAATAAGGTACCAAACAGGAAGAGGTCATTCTTGTTTAAAAAAATATATATATATATATATCAGTATGATAAAGAGAAAGAAAATAAAAAAAGGTAAATAAGTTAGAATTTTGTGGTTGTCAGAAAAGACTCCTTAATGCCAACAGTGATTAAAAATTCTGAATCCAAAATTGAGTTTTCTTCTTTGTGTAACTGAAACTCAAAATGAAATCCAGGAGTTGCTATAACCAGATGTCATCGGTAGGCAGAAGAGTCCACGTTAACAAACCCATCTACAGTTAATTTAGGGGACAGGCTTCATGCAGAATTCATGCATTAATACCCATCCAGTGCAAATAGTTGCTTTTCTGATAATTAGCTGAAAAGCATTTATTACATGATCATGTAATGAGAGAAGAATTTAAATTACTAGAATCATATTTTCATATTCTGAATGTATAAAGAAACAGCCTTTCTAAAGGGAAGTATACTTCTAAAATATGAATAGCTGCCCTTTAGTCTTGTTGACAAATATAAATTGTTTTCTTAAAACAGAGCTCTTGTTAGGCATGTGTTTATTTTTATATGCTCAGAAACATAACTTGGACTTTGCATCTTTTTTTCAGGATGTTCTTGAAGAGAGAATCTCCCTGGAAGTTCAACTGGAACAACTGCGACCATTCTCTCACTTATAAGCCAATTGCCGTTAACTGTGAACATACCCATTTTTAAACGGTTTGGGGTTCAAAGCCAATTTGGAGACCCAAACATTCAGCTCACTGCTTAATTCAACATTAAATTTTATGATTCTGTTTTACCCTATGTGTTCACCATTGTATTTAAGTATCTTTTATTTTTTAATTTCAACAATAAAAGGGTCAGGATGATTTTTTCTGGAGGTTATATTGTGTGTGTTGTACACCCCACCCTAGCTATTCCATAGCATCAGGAACCAAAACGGCACAATGATTTGGTTTACAGAGTGGGCTTCTTATTTATATCTCAAGCACAGACTCAGAAATCTTCACAAAAGGAAGACAAAAACTGTTACCTTGTTCTTGTCTGGGTTTAATATTTTACACAAAGCATCTATATTTTCTAAAAAACTTTAAAATATGATTCTTTTTAGTCTTTTATTTTAAAGAGCTTCATTGGATAAGACAGTTTTCACAGGAAGCTAATTTACTAGGAAGTCTTCTTCTCTGCATTAATCAGCATGCTTCAAGAGTCACATGATTCTTCAAACTTCTCTTACATACCAACTTGGGGTCAGGTTCTCCATTTTCCTTTCAGCATTTGATCACTTTTACAGGGACTTGGACATTTTCTGTGTGAGATTTTAATTCAACAGCATTCATGTAAACTTACGAACTTTACGATTGTGAAGACAGGCTTTTTCTAAACATCCCTTCAAGGTGAAAGGAAGTGTGACACCAGTACATAAACATGATCTGCTCAGAAACATCACCCATTTTTGCATGATTCATATGCTTAACTCCGTTAGAAGTTTTATAGCGAGTATTTTCAAGAGATAGGGTTTTAAACTTCTGAGGATAGTCCATTACAGTTTCTAGTTTACCTTCAGCTGTCTTTTTACTCACTGTCCACATCTGCAGATTTTTCATACTAACAGAGTTTCTGGAGTATGCCCTGTTTAGGATAATGTTCTGACCTAGGATTTGTTTTATATTGTGCAGTAGATGTATTTGGATCACATTTGTAAATTTGCATTTGTTGCTAACTCATAGCACATAGTCCCTTTAAAGTTTATGCTGTCCACAGGGTCATAGATGTTAAACTGCATGGATATAACAAAATCAAAAGAGTGATTTTACATTAATAGTACAATATTTTAACTTTTTATATATTTTTAACCAGAATTTAAATTTTTAAGAATTAGACAGAATTTGTAGTTTCATTTCAAAAGATGTTTAAGTAACCCAGGTTCACAATCCTAGATTACACTATTAGATTTTATTGCCTTCAGAGATTATGAAGTGGGCTGGGCATGCCTCCAATGGTAGAACACCACCTGCCTAGCAAGCATGAAGCCCTGAGTTCAAACTCCAGTTCCATAAAAAAAAAAATAGACATTATGAAGCAAAAAGGTTATCAACCTTTTTTATCAGTCTTTTGAGATCAAAACTATTACTGCTGCATTTGTCAGCTAAAGTTTTCAGGTAGCTAACAGGTTATAGCTTTCAGTTTGTTACAAACTCAAATGAAGGCTTTAATGCCCCAGGAAGCTACTATTTTGCTGTTTCTTTGCTTGAAACAGAATTGACTTTATTGATTTTTATTTAGCTAAATTTCATTACAAGCAGGTTTTGCAGCTTAATCCATTTTTATTAAGCTCAATTTCATAACAGGCAAGTTTTGCTAGATTTCCGTTTATTTTGTTGTTGTTTTGGCAGGACTGGAGTTTGAACTCAGGGCTTTGCACTTACAAAGCAGGCACTCCACTACTTTGGGCCACACCTTTAGCCCATTTTGCTCTGGTCATTTTGGAGATGGAGTCTCATGAACTGTTTGCCCAGGCTGGCCTTGAACCTCGATCCTCCTGATCTCAGCCTCTCAAGTAGCTAGGATTACAGACATAAACTACTGGCATCCAGCTATTTTTATTTTTTAAAGGTTGCATTTTTTCAGTGATCTTCTAATTTAGCATTGTCAAAAGTATTTTTAAAGCTTACTTGGATGGTCTAGAATTTGATGTCTGTAGCAAAATATTTAAAAATTATTTTTAAAAAACTTCTGAGTACTTTATTTTTTTTTTTTTTTGCAGCACTGGTGTTTGAACCCATGATCTCATGCTTGGTAGGCAGGCACTCCTACCACTTGAGCCACTTTGCCAACGTGTGTGTGTGTGTGTGTGTGACCACTTGAGCCACTTTGCCAACGTGTGTGTGTGTGTGTGACCACTTGAGCCACTTTGCCAACGTGTGTGTGTGTGTGACCACTTGAGCCACTTTGCCAACGTGTGTGTGTGTGTGTGTGTGTGTGTGTGTGTGTGTGTGTGTGTGTGTGTGTGTTGCCCAGGGCTTCAAACCATGATGCTTCTGATCTCTGCCTCCTGAATAGCTAGGATTGTATTAAGAATATGTTTGACAGGTCTATGTTTGACAGGTGTTTGAAAAGCTGCCATTTATATTTCTTATACATATTTTTAAGATCAGTAATTGTTTCATGAAATTTTTAATGATTAGTAAATCACCAACAAATTAAAATATATTTCCAAGAATGGTCACTTATGACACATTTTTCATTCTGGTTTTATTTTTCATTAATCATTTTTTAACAACTACACAGTATGTTTGCTGTCACAATTCATCACATCAGTCAAATTGTTTTAAAGAAGATTGTCCATGCAAAATAACTGTCAAAAAAAAAAAAGGTTCAAAATTTCAGATTCATTGTTCTGAACATTCCACATAACTTTGCCATAGGTGATAACATTTCAGGGTTGGAAGGAACCTTGTGGGTCGTCACAGTTCATCCTCTCATCATCCGTGACACCTTCTGCTTCTTCCTGGATGTTCAGGAACAGAAAATGCAGAATTGCACCCCGATGGCTGTCTTCACGTCCAGTGTCACTTCTCCATACTACTTCTGATGGTGCTCTGGAGTACTGAGAGCCACAGGAGCTTATCATCCTCTGCTTCAGTAGCACAAATCCATTCACATTTTGGACCTTGAAGAATAAATGCATTCTTGACATCTGAAAAACATATGAAGCATACTACTTACTAATTTTTGTGGGTAACAAAAGAAAAGGAAAAAATGTTTTAAAATTCAAGAGCTGACCAAGCCATCTTTAAGAACTTTTTGAACCCTAAAAATAAGGTTTCAAACAAGTTTAGGACCTAACTTCTTAAAATGGCTGAAAGTTGATGTCATAAGGTAATCTTATTTTTATAATTAATTATAATTAACAATTATTTTAAAGACTGAATAATGATGTTATGTTTAATTCCTTGTATAAAGCAGCCCAGAAATAACTGGAGCCAGTGAAAATCTTTTCTAATCATATGTTAAAGATGATGAGAGCCAGACCTAGACATCCTTGGTATGAGAGCTGGCGACAGTAGCCAACTGCATACTCAGCTGAATGGCCATAACTGTCATAGAATACAGCTTACTGTCATAGTGAATGGGAAGAGAAGAAAAAGAGCATGCTTTATACACTAACCATGCTCAGTGATTGTGGGTAACCTTTTTTACTTAAGTTCGCCTTCAAGAAAGATTCCAAAACAGATCAAACGTGGCAGTGTGACTGACAGGGAGCTTTAACTGGGGCTCTCTCTTGCCTTCTAACTGACCTGAGGATTGAATTTCATCCTTTTCATGGGAACTCCACTTCTGTATGTGTAGGAACAAATGGATTCTGTTTGCTAAATATTTATTTAAACTTTATTATCTATGTCAGAAAATGAAATTGACCTACGATTTGTTTACTCACATTTTTCTTTGGTTTTAGTATCAAGGTTATATTGCCATCATAAAATAAGTCAGATAGTTTTCATCAGTTTTTTCATCTCTAAAGGAATGTAAATAAGTTACCAGTTCCCTGAATTTTTCATTCTGGAGCTGACACTGCCATTAATCCAATTTTGACAATAGGCGTAGACTTCAATGAGGGGAGAAAGAAAGGAAGGCAAAAGTATTAAGAAATTATATACCCTAGCTAAGACTTTTTCTCTACTCTGGCTTTAACAGGATTAAAATGGATGTATTTTCCCTTCTTCCTTTAAAAAAACAAGATTGCCTTCTAGGTGGAAATATTTATTCCCATACTTGTTATTCTCTCTCTCTCTCTCTTTCTCTCTCTCTCTCTCTTGGGCTCAGATTAGTTCCTTCCCTAAGATCTTAGTTACTGATTTAACCTAAAGTCCTTTCTACATGCTTGAAAAATATTGGAGTGAAAGATGTTACATTTGGGTTGTCTGGCCTAACACAAATACAGGAAAGAGATCTTTAAGCTTGGAAAACAGTGTGGGATAAAATGAAGTTAGGCATAATAAGTTTAAGTAGGACTCTCTCTGTGACAAATGGTATTTCTTTTGGAATTACTTTGAATAAAATGTAACTTACTAACCATACTCTATATATCTGTCTGTTCCTTTGTAGAACAACTCTCAGCTTCAATGCCAATTTAAGAAAGAAAAGGTACAATCAGACCTGTAATGTCCAGTTAGTCCTGGTAGAATGGAAAAGTAATAGAGAAGAATCTAAAATAATGCTTCAGGTCTGCAACATCTGTAGACAAGGTAGGACACTGGCTGAGAGCTCCAGGTCTCCAATCAGACTGCTTCAGGGTACTCGTGGTGATGTGGGTCCTGTGTCCCTTTGTGATTTTTGAAAGCTGTATCAGAAAATAATGCCAGCATTCCTTTCTGCTGCTATTTCAGAGACAGATGAAAGTTTAATGAACTCCTAATTGGGTAATTATTTGCAAACTGAAAAATCATAATTCCAGTCCTTTTCCTACTTTTAGATATTAATAGTTAATGAGTTTGGTATGGAATAGCTTTGTGAAGATACTTATCTCTTGAAAGAAAACTGTACATACACTTGGAATCTGGAATGTCTTCTATGAGTAACCGTGAAAGGGCTACTGATGCAATGAACTGGTAAGTTGTTGTTGAAGTCCTTTCAAACGGAGTGTGAGATATGCCCCGACTGCAAACAAGCAGTGCGTCATTGAAGAGAAAGAGGCTGAGATCACGGATTTGTTCATAGAGCCTATGTTAAAATAGGGAAATGTATGTAAGTGCTTTGTTAAACAACTATCTTTAAATTGTTAAGCCAGTGGCTGACTCTTACCACACTATAGATCTTTTGAGTTGCTGGTGAAATTCTTAGTTCTCCTCTGCATCTCAGACCAGTACTGTGGGCCAACAAGATTTCTGATGGAGTTGTCTTGAGCTTGTCCATTGGACAAGAATTTCACAATCAGTGTGGGGAAATGAGCACTGACCTTTCCTGCCTTTATGAAATGAATCATTATCACAGTGCTTTTTAAAACTTTTGTCAGATTTGGTATTTTGTGCTAGATGTATCTGGCAGTCTGAGAAAAATAACATTTTTGTTCTGCATTATCTGTGAGGGCAAAAGGTTATATGAAGAAAAATACAAAGACAATGTGGCATGTGGAATCTTTAAATGAAAAGCAGGAGAAAGAAGCATTTACTAGGTAGAAGTGAATTTTTAATTCCAGTTGGAGGAAAATTCGCTCATCAGTATGAAAGGTAACAACTAGGTAGTCCTTCCTTTTCACTGAGGTTGCTAACACGATCAGCCAACAGTCAGCTTATTTATCAAGGAGCAAAATCTGATGTCCATAGCCTCCCATCTGTTATCATCTTGGATTTAAGTTTTAGGTATTTACAGAAGAATGGCTGGATGGCCACACATTTCTACCTATCTGCACACTTAAAACAACTCACACTTCCCTAACACTCTCCAAACTGCTGAAGCTAACCACTCTCCAAATACCTAAAGCATAACACCTGAAATGTCTTAACTTTTTGACCCATCCTATGCCCAGCTCTTAGGCATGGTTGTAACTAACATGACTCAAGTGCCCTGCTCTTCAGAGTGCAGCTGGCCTGCCCATCAATGGACACAGCATCACCAGAGCATGTGCTAGAAATGCAGTCTCAGGCTGCTTTATCCCTGAGGCAGAATTTGCATTTTAACAGAATCTCCAGGTAATTCAGATGTGCCACATATAAGTTAAGAGTCATTATCATGTAAAGTGAGTTACAAATGTGAATTATAGCTGGTTTTATGGTAGACAACCTGAAATTCTTTTTTTTTTTTTTTTTTTTTGGGAGATTTACCATTTATATATTTTTTTTTCATTTTTCTTTTATTATTCATATGTGCATACAAGGCTTGGTTCATTTCTCCCCCCTGCCCCCACCCCCTCCCTTACCACCCACTCCGCCCCCTCCCGCTCCCCCCCTCAATACCCAGCAGAAACTATTTTGCCCTTATCTCTAATTTTGTTGTAGAGAGAGTATAAGCAATAATAGGAAGGAACAAGGGGTTTTGCTGGTTGAGATAAGGATAGCTATACAGGGCATTGACTCACATTGATTTCCTGTGTGTGGGTGTTACCTTCTAGGTTAATTCTTTTTGATCTAACCTTTTCTCTAGTTCCTGGTCCCCTTTTCCTATTGGCCTCAGTTGCTTTAAGGTATCTGCTTTAGTTTCTCTGCGTTAAGGGCAACAAATGCTAGCTAGTTCTTTTGGCAGTAGTGGGAGTTGAACTCTGGGTCTTGAGCTCGCTAGACAGGTTCTCTACCACTTGAGTACACTCAAAGCCCTTTTTTGCTTTAGGTGATTTTTCAGATAGGATCTTGTGCTTTTTGCCTGAGGTTGGCTTCAGATTGCAAACCTCCTAACTATACCTCCCACACAGCTGGATTACAGATATGTACTACCATATCCAACCTTGAAATTCTTTGCTAAAAAAAATTTGAACCAGTCACCATTGGCTCACACCTGTAATCCTAGCTACTCAGAAGACAGAGATCAGAAGGATTGTTGTTTGAGACTAGCACAGGCAAATAGTTCAAGAGACCATATCTTGAAAATACCTAACACAAAAAAGGGCTGGCAGAATGGCTCAAGTGGTAGAGAGCCTGCCTAGCAAGCAGGAATCACTGAGTTCAAACCCCAATATCTCTAAGAAAAAAAAAATTGAGTAATCAGTCCTACTCTTGGGAATCCTATCTGCTAAAAATGGTAGCAGATGTAAGGAATTTGTTTATATAGGGAATCAAGTTTGTTGCAACATCAGTCATCATAGAACGAAGTATAAATGAAAGGATGGACAGACGGGATTAAGCCTCTAAATGAAACAACTGTCCATTAACAGCAGAAAAGTGGAATAAATGGTGTTCCATCCACACCATGAAATATTATTTATTTAAAAGAATGAACTGAAGCCATAGCAGTTAGCTCGAAATGCTTTCCATTTGCTAAGTGAGAAAAGCACTTAGAATTTTTGCAAAATAATGGCAACCTCCCTGTAAATAGATGTGTGCATATATATTGGTTACCTGACCAAGTACAAAAAAACAGAAGGCTACATACTGAGTTGGAAACTTGGGTGACTTTAGTATAGAGGGAAGAGTGAGCCAAGCACAATGGAAAAATGGAGGGAAAAAGAATATTGTACACTAAATGAAAGTCAATAGTAGGACTGACATTGTTTAAACATTGCTGTAGAACTCTGTTTTGCACAATTTAAAAACTAGAGATGGTCAGGTGAAGAATAAACAAGTCCCTTGAACAAACAGAAACAGACTCCATTAATCTTCCTAAGGTTGCTTAATGGTTCTAAGAGGAAAAAAATTAACTTCTATTAGAACATTTGACTTCTTCCCTTAGTCTTTCTTCAGATGGATTCAGCCAGCCACAGGGGTGGGCTGCCCCTCTCGAATACTTTGTGAGACCCCCATCTCCAAAATAATCAGAGCAAAATGGAGCAGAGGTGTGGCTTAGGTGGTAGAGCACCTCCTTTGCAAGCACAAAGCCCTGAGTTCAAACCCCAGTCCCACCAATAAATAAAATTCAGGACACAAGCTTTGGCATGAAGAGACAGCAGCAAGCCATCATCTCCACTGTGAGCTGACCTAAGCCAAAAGTGTTTCTCCATAGCCTCTGCACATTCACACACTACCTGACAGATCGCAATGGCTTCTGGAGTCCCTAGAATGAGACCAGAGTCCAGTATCCCTCAGAAGTCTGAGTAGGTCCCCTCCCCCAGTGCAGAGTAAATGACTGCAGGTCCTTTTGGGAAGGTAAGAGAAACATTTATGATCTGCCTTTTGGCAAGATAGTAGGGTCTTTCCTCAATGGGACTCTGGGTCTGGGAAGTGGGTGGCTTCATTTGGTGGTCCAAGTCAGGCCTAGATGGGCACACTTTTGCACCATTAGCAAGGCCCCTTTGAAAAAAAGATGCTCAAAAATCATCAAGCTGCAAGTCACATATATGAAAATCGGTGTTTTTGAAAAATACTGTACCACCAAAATTTCAAAGTACATGTTACAAGACTTTAACATTGGCAGGTATCTTGGCTCAAGTGGTAGAGCACCTGCCTAACAAGTGGGAGAACTTAAGTTCAAACCCCAGTACTGCCAAAACAAACAAACAAACAAAAAAAGTTATAGGGGCAGAACTCTTGCCTAGTATGCATGAGGTCCTGGGTTCAATCTCTGACACGGCAAATAAATAAGTAAATAGCTTAACATAACCCCAAACTATGGTTTGTGCCCATGGTGGGGGTAAGCACCTGCTTCTTTAAATGACTAGAACTTTGTCTCTACTCCAGAGTAAACTTTTTCATGTAGAATGCACACACTCGTGCTCTGAGGCATAGCTCTTGTTTATTTCTGCCATGCTGGTGAATTTCTTTTGAGGAAAGTCTCCTTTCATTTTCCCACCTGTCTGGTTGGTGGAACCAGCACTGTCCGAGCACTGAGACCTGGTATGAATTCCAGACCAGCACTTATTAGTTCTGTGACTTCAGGCAACTTTCTTCAGTCACACTCCCCTAGCATGGGTCCTGTCCTACCTGCCTCACCAAGTGATTGCAGTGAATTTATCAAGTGAGAGAGGTAAAACGTATGGCAAACTGTAAAGCTTTATGTTCCGTGAGTCCAGGCAATGGGTGTAAATGTAAACAGGATACATTGACTCTAGTAAGTAAAAATTCCTGATGGAAATCATGGGAGTGGCATTTCATTGGTTTTATTTAACTTTAAAATAACAGAAAATGAGTTACAGGCTAAATATTTTGGGCTAATGCTGTGAATGTAATCACAGGAACAGTGTCTTTAAATGTAAGTGTGCACCATAGAATAGAAAATAGTATTATCCTCAGACCCTCAGCTGTACTCATCTCGTGTCCAAATTCTGAAGACAGGTCTAAATTCCAATAATTTAGACTTCCAGCTTCCAACTGACATGTAAGAGCCTGGAAGTTGTCACTCCTATCCTCACTACAGAAAAGATGAAAAAACTCAGAGTCAGCTGGACATGGTGGTACACACTGTAATCACAGCTACTCAGAGACTGGAGCAAGTTCAAGGTTAACCAGGCAAAGGTAGCAAGACCCTGTCTCAAAAACAAAATACAGAAAATGTGGTATTTATATGCAATGGAATTTTACTCAGCCATGAAGAAGAATGAAATTTTGTCATTCACAGGTAAATGGATGGAACTGGAGAATATCATGTTAAGCGAAATTAACCAGGCTCAGAGGCCAAAAATAGTATGTTCTCCCTCATATGCAGATTCTAGACCTAAAACAAACTCAGTAATATTATTGAACATGGGTCACACTAAGGGGAGGCCGTGCACAGGAAGGGACAAGGGAAGGAAACCAAAAACTTTAATGTGGTTGATGTGCTCACTGTAGAGGAGTGAATACAGCAATCTGAAATTGGCAGAGGCCACTATGGGAAGGAGACCAGGAAGCAGTGAAGAGGTCTGGAAGAGATGAACCAATGTGGGTTGCAATACACACGTGCATGGTAGCAACACTAGGAATCTCTCTGAATAGCTATCTTAATCTCAAACTAGCAAAAACGCTGTCTTTCTTATTATCTCTACGTTTGTCTCTTCAACAAAATCAGAGAAGAGGGAGGAACAGGTTCTGCCCAGAAGCCGGGAGTGGGGAGGGGAAGTTGGCACAAACAATGTAAACACATGTAAGTAAATGTAAAAATGATAAAAGAAAAAAATATGATAGAGATTTTACACAAGTAAGGGGTGAGGATAGGTAAGACACCTAAAAAACTAGCTAGCATGTGTTGCCTTAACGCAGAGAAACTAAAGCAGATACCTTAAAGCAACTGAGGCCAATAGGAGAAGGGGACCAGGAACTAGAGAAAAGGTTAGATCAAAAAGAATTAACCTAGAAGGTAACACCCACGCACAGGAAATCAATGTGAGTCAATGCCCTCTATAGCTATCCTTATCTCAACCAGCAAAAACCCTTGTTCCTTCCTATTATTGCTTATACTCTCTCTACAACAAAATTAGAAATAAGGGCAAAATAGTTTCTGCTGGGTATTGAGGGGGGGGAGAGGGAGGGGGCAGAGTGGGTGGTAAGGGAGGGGGTGGGGGCAGGAGGGAGAAATGAACCAAGCCTTGTATGCACATATGAATAATAAAAGAAAAATGAAAAACAAACAAACAAAAAAAAACAAAACATAAGGGCTTGCCTAACATATGTGAGGCCCTGGTTTCAATCCCCAGCTTTAAAAAAACTCAGAATCAACAATTCTTCCCAGATCATCAAATAACTGGAGTCAAAACATCCCATACAGGCAGATACAGAGAATCACAGTTTATCAGAACAGAAACTGCCTGCTGGAGCCAGCATGAAATAGAAGAAACTTGAAGGGCAGTTGACTGACTGCTGGAGACTGTGGACTGACAGGGGCGATTAAAACCTCAGGGTCCCACGTAGCTGTGAATGTCACCTCCAGGAGCCACCAGGGTCTCACTGCAGAGAGGGAGCTGGGGAAAGCAGCCATTTTGAAATTTGCCCAGAGTACTATTCTGCTTAACAAAGACCTGCCCTCAAGTGAACTTTTACCAGACTTCAACTAATCAGGGTTTTGCCAGAGCCTAACCAACCTGGGAGAAGGGAAGTATTTAACTCCCAGTTCATCAGAAGACCAAAAACTGAACTATAGAATGCTCCCCTTCCTCTCCTCTTAGTGCCACATCAGTAGGACTCGAGTAAAAGGAGATCATGGCAGACAGGCCCTCAAGTCTCAGGACCCCACACACTTTTTTTTCGTGGGACTGAGGATTGAATACGGGGCTTCTTGACCCACACTTCCAGTCCTTTTGCTTTTAGTATGTTTTGCAGATAGGGTCTCAAGCTTTTGCCAAAGCTGGCCTCAGACCCAATCCTCCTACCTCCACCTCCCAAGTAGCTGTGATTACAGGCATATGCATCACTGCACCCAGCCTCTCAGATCCTAGGTAGAAGGAGTCTTTAAGGAAACCCAAAGATACAATAGAGAAGACAAAAACAAGGACACCAGGGAAAACAGCAGCCTTCAACCCAAGCTACAACAAATAGTAAACACAGCCCAACTCTCAGCTAGATACATAAAATCTCACCCTAAAAAGGCCTATTTAGCTTAGTTTCTTTTATAGATATGTGTGGTTTTCCACAAAAAATTATAATTCCTGCTAAGAAGTAAAAAACAGACTAAAAAGATAGGACAAATATCAAATATGATAGAGATTTTAGAATTTTCAGATCAATAATTTAACTGATTAATATGGTAAGGGATCTAAAAGAAAAAGTGGATAGCATTAGAAAAAAAGATGGGTGATATACACAGAAAGATGGAATCTCTTCATAATTAAAAGGAAATGGTAAAAATAAAAAACTATCACAAAAATAAAGAATGCCTTTGATGGGCTCATCAGCAGATGGAGCATAGCTGAGGTATGAATCAATGAGCTTGAAGCTGTGTCAATAGAAACTTCCTAAATTAAAAAACAGAATAAAAAGATGGGTTGGAAGAAAAGAACAGAAAAATATCCAAGCAACAGGACAGTTTCAAAAAACACCATGTATGTGCAATGGTAATACCAGATAAGAAAGAAAGGAACAAAAGAGAAAATCTGGAGGAGTAATGATTGGAAGTTTTCCAAAATTATTGACCACAAACCAAAAGTCCAGGAAGCTCAAAGAACAGAAGCAGAATAAATACCAGAAACTACACCTAGGCATAATGTACTGTAACTGTAGAAAATCAAACACTAACTCTTGAAAAATCCAGATATCAAAAAAATCCGTACAGGGACAAGGAGAAGAATTATATCCGACTTCTCTTCAGAACCATTCAAACAAGAAGAGAGTAGAGTCGAAGAATTGAAAGACAACACACACACACCCCTAGCATTCTGTGGCAAACAAATTTTCCATCAATCAAGAAGGAGAAAGGGTTTCTCAAACAAGCCAATATTGAGAGAAGTCATTGCCAGTAATTACATGAAGAAAGGAAGAGTGTTTGAGAAGGAATATATGACAGTAAAATAATAACCAAAAACTGGAAAAAAAAAAAAACCAACCCTAGCACGTCTCTGACCATACCAGTGTGTTTAGAAATGCCTGGGTAGTATGTAGCTTCTTCTTATCATTGTAGCTCTTTCTATCAGTACTGACCAAAAACAGCACGACAAAAGAAAACAAAATTGCTATGTCAATGAGACAAGTGACACTTTTGTGTGATTTGATTTTCATTTAAGATCCATCCAAGGTGGAGATGTTGGTGAAGAGACATCTCTTTCACCTACCTCAGTGCTCTGTCCCTTCAGGAGACATTTGCTGACTTGATCATTGAAATAGCAAACCAATTTTATGCTTTATTGCAGCTGGACAAATGGAAGGAGTTAATTTCCCTCCATTTTTGTTGCTATGTGTTGAATCATTATCTTTGGCCACAATACTGAAACATTTTAACAGTTTTCTAAAGCAGAGATCAACTAGGGCCCATTACTTGTTTTGTAGATAAAGTTTTATTTAGAACACAGACAGTTGTTCATTTATTGCCATATTGTTTATGAACATTGTATTGTTTTGTATTATATCATTTGTGGAGCTGTTTTTGAGCTACAACAGCAAAGGTAAGTTGCCACAGAGATCATTTGCCCACAAATCTAAATATTTACTCTCTGAACCTTTATAGAAAAATTTGTCCATCCTTGTTCTAAACATGAAACAGGAATAGTAACTTATGGACACTGGCATGCTCCCATCTTTTGTTCTTACATGTCTCTGTGCACTGTGCAAACCGGATATGGTGAGGTCATTTTCAACAACTAGCTGTGGATAATAAACTGGTCCTTTTGTGTTAAGCAGATAACTAGTATGCAGTGCCACAAATCTTGGATCTTGTCTCAATAGGAAAGTGACCAACCTTGAGAAGTTCTCCTTCTATGGAGTTGTGGTCTTAGCAGAGCCAAATTTTTCTCCCATTCTCCCCAGGAGCTGCCTGAAATGCAAGATGATAGAGTACCTTGCACTCTCAGTGGGCCCTATGTGTAACTTTTTAGTTCGAGGCAAAGGTTCATCTTGAACCTACAATATGTCAGACACAGTGGTGCACATCAGGGATACAGAGGAGTAGGACAGTCACCTGTCTTAGGAGTTCCCAGCCTTAGACAGTTATCTGCTGCTTACCTTAAATAGAAACTTACTTCCTCGTCGCAGCAGTGAAGTTGGGCTACATCCTGAACTCTAATCAGGTATCTGTTTACTTCTGATAGAGTCTATAAAATCAAAAACAAAATTAGAAGTACATATAAATATTTTAAAAATAAATATCACTACTGCAGAACCATTTTATATCCCAGAATATGCAAATGTTGATGAGAAATTAGTTGTTACAAAAAAGTGAATATTTTCATTATTTATAAAACAGGCTTTCTTTAGAAAGACCACAGAATTGAAAATGAAACTATATTTAAGGATGTTTTTGGCAGTACTGGGGCTTGAACTCAGGACCTCACACGTGCTGGGCAGGTGCTCTACCAATTGAACCACACCTCCAGCCCTTCTTGCTTTAGTTGTTTTTCAGATAGAAGCTCATATTTTTGTCTGGGGACAGCCTTGGACCCTGATCCTATGCTTCCCAGTTGCTGGAATGACAGACGTGGAGTCAAGTTTGAAGTAGGGCCAGCCTTGTGTGCTACTTCTTGTGAAGCTTCCTTGCAGTTAACCAGGGTGTGGAGTGTGACAGCTTGCAGCGCCTGTCAGGAGCAGGTACTGCACAGAGGTTAGCTGCATTGGTGTCCAGATGTCTCCTTTGCCTGTGACTCCAGGTTATACTCACAACCACAAGGTACAACAAAGACATCAAAACACGTACCGGACACCCCCAGATGGTTCTCTCAATATCTGACAGCTGCTCTTTCATTTTAATGTTTTCCTTCATCTAGAAAACAATGAGATTTTAGACTAACTACAATTGTGACATTTTTATTCACAAAATAAGGTATTTTATGGCACATGGTAGTACAGGACTTGGCACTTATAAAATCCTCAATTTTCTGCATCCAGTGTTTTCAAACAGAGGCAAATGAGACCTCTCAAAGACAGCATCTTTGGGGCATGTCAGCAATTCACACACAGCCCAGACGCCTATACAGTGCACTGTACAGTGATGGCATTTTCAGAACGAGAGGACTGTACTCTGAGAAGCCGGTCTCTCAGCAAATTGTGACCACGGGACTGACACGGGCTGGAAAGCTAACTGTTGCCTCCTAAATTACTTTCAGAATCAAAGAATTTTACGTTTTTTAAATTTTAGTTATCTACACAAATCAAATTTCCCACTTTCACATTAGTGAAGATTTTATTGTAATTGTACGCTTCTGAAAACATTTTGTCGTGTGCTGTTTGGCTGAGAATACGTGGTCTGAGTGTTCAAAACCACTGAACCCAACTATTGATTTAGCATTAAAACGACGGAAGATGGATGTGAAGAACACCGCAGAAGAGAAGAACACCTGGGGTTTTCAAGGAAGAGCAACTGAATAGCATCACAGGTTTTCAAAGTACCCCGTGCTTATGCACAACCCACCTGATCAATATGGCCTTTGTACTTTTTCATCTGGTCAATTGCAGTGGTCAGATCCTCCCGGTCACCGTGTCCTACAGGGGTATGGAGTCTCAAGGCATACAGAAGATGAAGGTACTCTTCAAACCTCCGGGATGGGCACAAAAGTAGCTCAGGCAGGCTGTTGTTGGCACAGAGAAAGGGGCCATCTCTCTGAAGGTGAGGGAGGAGAACCTGTCCTTCAGGCCACCTGTGCCCTCCCTTGAACTCACCTCAGCATATTGGTGACAATGGTCTTATCATGCCTCTTCAGGAAAGCTCGGAATGCTGGTGTCGTGTCTCTGCACTGAATGGGAACAATCACTTTGTCAAAACTCCATGAGACAGTTGGACAGCCCCACCAGCGAGGGAGGGTCTGTGGGATTCTCAAAGCAAAAGGGCAGCATCTCCATCCAAGCCAAGTACCAAGAGTGACATCCGTGTCCCCTGATCCATTAGACCATAGACCTAACCCTGTCCATTGAATTTAATTAGTACAAATAATCACAGTTTGAAATCAGGCAGGGCTGCATTAGAACTAGAATAAACAGAATACTGACATTGTCAGCATACTCCCCTGAGTCTCAGTTTTCTCATCAGTAAAATGGATATCATACCTAACTCACGGTGAGGGAAAAAAATCCTATCTACATAGTTCCTGTCTGGTCTGGGAGCATGGCTTAAGTGGTAGAGCACCTCCCTAGCAAGTGTGAGTCCCTGAGTTCAAACTCCAGTGCTGCCAAAGAAAGAGAAAACCAAAAAGGTTCAAAAGTAATTAAAGCATAAAGTGCCTGTTGCACAGGAAGGGTTATTTTCTTCAGTAGGAACTTGAGTATTAATGATATTCACCTTTAGTAGTGCTATTGATCATGTTTGCCATAGTAATATTAGGAGAGGACTCTGCTATACTTAACATCTGTAATCATTCATCATCATTAGTGCACCCGTGACATTCCCTCCTTCCATCAGCAGGTACATGTCTAAAAGACGTCGGTAATGCTAATTTCTAAAAATCAAATATTTGCGCATTTCAATAAAATTAATAGCTAACACTATTGTATTGACATTTATATGCTCACGCTATGCTACTGGAATAGGTGTTATCAGCCATAGTTACAACAATTTTGCCATCAGTTTCTTTCCGATAACTTGTGTCTCTTTGCTCCACTTCTCACTCTCATTGTCACTTCCAAGAGGTTGCCTTATTCATGCAGCTTTTACAATACAAGTCCTCCAAAGAGCCAGGCTTGTCAAGGCCATGCAGGACTGCGGTACCAGAGCGGACTCAGAGCTCACAGTCCTGCTTCAGTAACTGTCCAACATTCTCCTGTAACTGAGCCTCAGGCAACTGGGGCAGACGCCAGGCTGCAGTGTGTACACGGTTGGTTCAGCTCAACAACCAGGTCCTGGGCACTGCTGTGTGTCAAGCACTGTCCCTGTCCTCAACGAGCTCCCGGGACACAGGAAGAGACCTGGGAGCAGACAGCAGAGAAGCAGCCCTGCCCTTACCTCTTGCTCTTTGGATTGCACGCAGCACAAGCTCAGGAGGTCTAATAAAATGACTGATCGTGACGCACCCACCTACCTTCTCGATGGTCTTCAGAACCACAGGGTAATTGTTGAAGAAATTGGTGTATATGTTCAGCTGGCTTCCAAACTTTGTGAATATCTCCCCTATGCAGTGGGCCAGGCCCCATTCCTGTAGCCTGTCTCTCAGATTATCCAGAAACTGCCTGCACCATTAGAAGAGCACTGCTGTGACATACGAGCCTGTATGGCCACATCCCTGAAACTCTTCATTGGCTGTCATTAGTGCAGCCTTTGTCAGCCTAGTCTTTTATAGGAGGAGGACTTCATTTTGACCAAGTACTTCTCAGTCAAGTACTTGATTTTGATCAAGCACAGATGTGACAAGCAGGAGGGCTGGGCAGTGAGCGAGGAGCTTGCTGTGGGAGATCCCCCCTCTTCACCTTAATTCCTTGAGTCGGAACCCAGGCTGGCCTTTAAATGGCTGCTCCTGCCTGTCCAACCCCAGGCAGGGAGAGCAAAGGTACTTTGCTCCTCAGAGGAGAGTGACAGCTCCAACACCTGCAATGCCAAGAGCTGTCACCTGCACTGGGCTCATGTCCCCAGGTGGATTCCAGGAGCGTCTTCCCAGTCCTCAGAGGCCTTGAAAGCTACAAGAGGCCCTGTCAACCCCTTCAGTGTGTCAGAGTGCCCCAGGGAGGGCAAGGAAATGGCTGCAAGTTATTTAGAGAGTCACTGTTGGAGGGCCTCGCTGTACCATAGGTAGTGATAACCACTTTTCTCCCACGCATCACGACACACATGCTGTATTAAACTGACCATAGCCTTGTACTTCTAAGCACATGTCCTGTTCCTTGATCCTGGTAAGTCCTCCCGTCCCTGTCCTATGGCTCAGCTAAACATTGCTGATTGAGAACTCCAAGGCCAGGTGTGGTGTGGCATGCCTGCAATCCCAGGTACACAGGAGGCAGAGGTAGGAGGGTCATAGTCAAAGACCAGTGGGGGGCAGGAGGCAGTGTGAGACCCTATGTGAAAAATATCTAAAGGAAAAAAGGCTGGGGGTGTGGCTCAAGTGGTAGAGCACAGGAGACACTGAGTTCAAACCCCACTACTGCCAAAAATTTAAAAATTTTATAAAAAGAACAGCTCCAGTCAGCTGTCCTTCCTGTTGTCCTTTGAGTGAACTGGCCATTGATTACAGAGCACCAGGTACTGAACTCTGTTCCTGGCAGTTAGCTGTGACCTAGGGAGGGGGTGGCCACGGGGAATCACCACTGGGGGCAGCAGCCAGGTAAGTGACCTGCTGCAAGACGACCAGGGACCCCAAGAAGAACAGGCAATGACGGAGCTCCGTCCAGCTTTTGAGACAAAGTGGGGGTGCCTCCGACCACCTGTTGAGTATTTTTGAAAATACATATTCAGGGTTTACCTGTTGAGACTTAAAATCCGCAGAATATCGGAGAAAATGACCTGGATGTTGGCGGCGCTCAGAATGGCTCTGTTGGATGACAGCGCCGCCCGCAGCGGCCTCACGTACACGTTGCTCAGGATCTCCAGCTGCTGCACGAACTTCCTCTCGCTCTCCAGGAGTTCCCTGGCGGCCCTCGTTCGCCCCTCTGCCGGGCCCCTCTGCAGCTTTCTCTCCTGCGGAAAAAAACATTAAGAAGTCACAGGAAATGGCTCATGTCTGCAATCCTGCTTACCGGGGAGGCTGAGATTGGGAGGATCGCGGTTAGAGGCCAGCCTGGGCAAAGAGTTCACAAGGTCCTCCTCCCCCATCTCCAAAATAACCACAGCAAAATGGGCTGGAGGTGTGGCTCAAGCAATAGAGTGTCTGCTTTGCAAGCATAAAGTCCTAAATTCAAACCCTAGTCCCACCCAAAAAAAAAAAAAAAAGAACAGGAAATGCATGACTGCAACCCTCGCCAGGCCAGCCAAAGCCCAAGGAAGGTGAAGACAGAACAATGTAGGGGCAGGATGGCTCTGGAGTGCGGCTTAAGGGAAGAGGCCTAACCACTCCGTGCACTGAGGGAGGCTTGGGTGAAGGCAGGTCAGACTCGGGTTGCACAGGGCCCGGCCATGAAGCAAGGCACCTGCGCGGTGGCTCGTGGGCACGTGGAGCTGGCGCTCGGGTTCGTGTCCCCACGGCAGGTGCAGGGCGGCGTCTCCTAAGAAGGGAGGCTGCGTCTTTCCTCCAGAGCTCTGTCCCGCGGAGGGAGTAGGACCCACCCTCAGAAGACGCGTTTCCCCTGACCTGTCCTCTCCTCTTCCCCAGTGGGACACGTAGCGTAACGGGCACGCAAAGACGCTAGCGGCTGTGCACAGGCTGATTTGTGTTCTTTGATTGACACCCGAAGGAGACTGGACGGAACGAGCGTCCTCTCCAGGAGAGGCGCCGCACTCACTCTACATTCCAGCGAGTAACTTTGCGCTCACTGTTTTAACAAAACACAGCTTAGCACGCACGAAGCCCTGGGTTTGATCCCCAGCGCTGCCGAACAACAACAAAAACAGACGCAACACAAAATCCTTGCATGCCTTGTTCTGTTGGAAAACTCTAATGTCTTTTTGTTATCATTGCAAAACTAAGGACAAGCATAACTTTTTTTCTTCCTAGCGTTCATATGTAGGACAATGTCTTTTAAACTGGAATAAATCACTCCAAAAGATGACTCCTAGCCAGGTGTGGTAGCACAGCCTGCAGTCCTAGCACTCAGGAAGCTCGTGCTGAGGCTCTTGAGTTTCAGACCAGGCTGGGTGATGTAATGAGATTCCGTTTCCAAGTAATAATGATAACAATAATAATAATGAACCCTAGCTTATTTATTGTTAATGGTTTAAATAAACTTCTCGTCTAAAAAGAAAAAAGTTATGCAAATACAAAGTGTAATCTATGCGATCTTCACGAAATCGAGTCAACTGTAATTTTATGAACTAAAGTGTAAAAAGTAACTTAAGAGAGACAGCTCACTTTCTTTGAAATATTTGATTAATTTTCATGTTTTCAAACACATGGTCTGCATATATGTTTATTTAGGCATATAAGATGAGTCAAAAAATACTTCTGCACCCCACTCGGTGGTTGGCTGGCAGCCATACTTTGTTTTTATGTGTATTTACTTATCTGTGTATCGTAAATGTAGTTATCCAGCAGTTATGATCATTGCAGCTTCAAGTTTCACCTGACAAACCTTTCGTGAAGATCTCGGAACCTGGCAGCTGCTAGGAGCTGAGACACCATCTCCTACACACCGCAGGACGTCAGTGCCCCTCCTCGCTGATTCTTGGCGTTGATTTGGGGGAGCTGAGAAAACTCTCTCTAAGGCCAAGGCCAGTGCTGGATGCTCAGAGTGTGGGAGGAGGGTCCGAGGTCAGACCTTCAGAACTCATGTTTTTCTCTTTCCTAGTTGTCTGACCTCGGGGAGTCATTTAACTTTTCACATCTACTTCTTGACTACTAACACCTACTGTTAGGGCTTCTAAGAACAGACGCGATAACAGCCGTGTACGGGTTCAGAAGAATGTAAAGTAACATGGACGCGCTGTGCATTCCGGCAGTCAGGCCCGACCTCTGCGCACTGCCTGCCCTTCCACCAGGAGGACGGGTCTACGCGGTATGTTGACGACAGCCAACTTCTGAAGTCAGACATGAGTTGGTGGACCAATGAAAACTGTAAGTCTTTAAATCATGTCCTGACATTGGAAAATCATGGAGTCATAGTCAGATTGGTTTTCTCCCCAGAGGCTACACCTCCATTCTTCTGGCTGAATTTCTTTTCAGTCCAGGGCTTATCCGAGAGTGAAAATATATACATATACCAGCTGGATTCATCTCAATTAGATTTAAGGTATTTTATTTTCTCCCTAAGGAAATGTTCAAGGAAAACAAAGAACTAACTAGAATAAAGACCGAAGCTTCACTGTCAGGAGCAAACCAAATGGAAAATCCCTATCGTTCAATATTGGCTTACCAGCTCAACCAGCGCCTCAACATTGCGATCACTTCTGCTGAGATGTGGCTTTGTGTCCCAAGCAGCGTGGTTCCTTCCCTGAAGGTTAAAGGGAACTCGTTATTTGGAGGTGGACCTTGGGGCCTTGGGGTCTCGAAAGCCCACTCAGACTCACTTCAGTCCTAACCCTATGCCTCCTGGTGAATTAAGGGCTGCACACATAGGATGCCTCTTTTAAACTGAGATTCATGGGCTTTTTAAAATTGCCTTTATCTTCCTTTGACCTACATCACACTTGGGAAGTTTCTTCTTCCCTGAGAGGTAGGGGAGTGAACTGCCCCAGGGGCATCACCCAGGCTGACAGAAGCCTGGTAACAGGCCTGGCTTCAGCTCTGCTTTGTCACTTCACACTTCAGAGTAAATAGGTCACTTCACTTTTAAGGTGCCAGAGAAAAAGAACAAGGACACTTTATAAAATCCAACCCTTGAATCACCTGATGAAAATGTGCCATAAACACTTCACATACCCTTTCTAGACTTGTCTGTTTCCACATTTAAATAGGGCTTATTTCTTCTTCACTTTGCAGTGCTGATTGTACCTGTTGTGACAGCGCTATAAATTAACACCTAAACTGTCCTCCCATACTCCAGCCCCAGCCTGGGGTGATCCCAGCAGCCCCCAGTTCTACAGGATGTCTACCAGAATCTGGCACTTGTCTTCTTGGAGTCTCTCACTGTTTCCTGTTGTCCTCCCCAAGAGTGGCTGTCCCATGCTGGCCTGGTATGTATTTATACTTTCAGCTGGGGAAAAATAACTACACTGAATTTTTTTTTTTTTTTGGTGGGACTGGGGTTTGAACTCAAGACTTTGAACTTGCAAAGCAGGCACTCTACTGGAGCCATGCCTCCAGTTCCTCTACCCTGAATTTTGACAAAATAATTCAAAATTTCTCTCTGAGGGGAGCACTTTTTAAAAAATAGTGTTAACTACAGCAGAGAAAGGATCACCTCAGCAAGTCAGTGTGACAGGAGTGGTTGTGCAGGAGGAACGAGGTAACGAAAATCAAACTCACTGTCCTGGCCACGATTAGGGAAACAGAACGACGTAGAATAGCACTGTGAATCTCAGTGATAAGAGAATACAGGACAGCCGCAATGTGAGGCATTGCCTGTTATGGTTTTCATCTCAACCTTCCCCAAACACCATGTGTCAAAGGCTTGTTGGCCAGCCTTTGGCACTATTTGGGAGATGGTGGAACTTTCAGGAGGTGGGAACTAGTGGAAGGACGTTAGGTGATTGGAGGTGCACCCTTGCAATATTGAAACCTGTCTCTCTGTCTCTCTCTCTCTCTCTCTCTCTCTCTCTCTCTCTTTCTCTCTCCCTGGCCCACCAGGAGCTGAACAGTTTCTTCTATCATGACATGCTGCCTCACCACAACCCCAAAAGCCATGGGGCCAAGGCACCTTGCGCTGAAATCTCTGACACTGAACCAAAATAACTCTCCCTTCATTTAAGGTAGCTTCCTCAGATGTTTTGTCACAGTGACAGCAAACATATCACCCTATCATACAGGCCCACCTGAGCACTTACGAATTGAAATTCAGATATCAGCACTTCACCTCATGTGCCCACACTTGCTTCACCTCTGGCTAAGAAGAAGCTACTTTTTGAAATGTTAGTTGTTCTTGGGGATAGGAAATTGCTTTGATATAATAATTTTATTTGAACCTAAAAATGATGACTTCTCTCATTTTATGTAATGCATAGTGAATGACTGTTAGGATGTTCAATGCCTATTTTAAAATTAAAATGCTACCCTTGGTTCCATTTTTAGAGATGAATCCAGAGGCAGAAACAGAGGCAACAAGCTCTGCAAATTTATAAGGAAATGCTCATTTGGGGCTGGTGAGCCTTTGCCCTGGCTCTCTGCAGAACATACAAGAAAGACTGTAGGAAATTAGCTCACAGGACTGGGCTTTCATCACTTGCTAGGAGTTTTTCTACCAGGTCCTGTATTCTCTAGAGCTGTTCTACACAGGGCAGATACTTTTCCCAGAAGACACTCTGCTTCGTGTCAGGGGCCAGAAATGGTTGTGAAAATGACAAGCAGAGCTCAGGAATAACTATGTGCCCCATTGCCATGTTTGCATAGTATCAGGCTCGCACAAGCCAGAGTAACTTACAGAGCTAAGCAGGTGACAGACAGACAGATGATGGATAGAAAGATGGATGCATAGATAGATAGACAGATGATAGATAGATAGATAGATAGATGATAGGGGAGGTGGGGCGGCCGCGCGTGCTAAGGGGTGGGCGAGTGGCCGACATGGCGCCCTTCGGGCTTCTGGTTTCTTTGGTGGCCTTGGTGGTGTTGTTTTGGGGGGGCTCCCTGGGCCCACGGGCGGCGGAGCGACGTGCGTGTCATCACGGACGAGAACTGGACAGAGCTGCTGGAAGGAGAGTGGATGATAGAATTTTATGCTCCCTGGTGTCCTGCTTGTCAGAATCTTCACCAGAATGGGAAAGTTTTGCTGAATGGGGAGAAGATCTTGAGGTTAATGTTGCAATAGTAGATGTCACAGAGCAGACAGGACTAAGTGGACGGTTTATTGTAACTGCTCTTCCTACTACTTATCATTGTAAAGATGGTGAATTTAGGCGCTATCAGGGTCCACGGACTAAGAAGAACTTCATAAACTTCATAAGTGAAAAAGAGTATTGAACCAGTTTCATCATGGTTTGGTCCAGGTTCTGTTCTGATGAGTAGTGTGTCAGCACTTTTTCGGCTATCTATGTACATCAGGACTTGTCATAACTATTTTATTGAAGACCTTGGATTACCAGTTTGGGGTTCATACACAGTTTTTGCTTTAGTGACTCTGCTTTCAGGACTATTATTAGGACTTGGTATGATATTTGTAGCAGATTGCCTTTGTCCTTCAAAAAGGCGCAAACCACAGCCATACTCTTCAAAAAATTCATTACCAGAATTTTCTCAACCTTTGAAAAAAGTGGAGGAAGAACAAGAGGCTGATGAAGAAGATATTTCAGAAGAGGAAGCAGAAAATAAAGAAGAGACAAACAAAGACTTTCCACAGAATGCCATAAGATAACGCTCTGTGGGTCCATCATTGGCCACAGATAAATCCTAGTTAATTTTTACAGATACCTTAATACCACAGTTTTGACAAAAGCAAAAGATCAATCATTTGTTTTGAAGTGAAGTGTGACTTGCTTGTATTTTGCAGGGCTCAGTGTAAGTGATCATAGATTGAATAGTTTTCATTCAGAAAATAAAAGCAACTATAAAAGTGTGAAATTTATGATTTATAAACATGTGGTAGTTTAAACAATAATTTTAGAAAATCTGATGCCAAGCAGTAAGACTTGTGTTATGTTCATTAATGATAATCTGTTTCAAGTCTGAGATGAAAAATTATATTTCCCAAGATTTGCATTACTCTGGGGTATTTAAGGAGATTACTTTAGAGGAAAAGATTTCTGATTTGATATGATTTTTCTCAGTTTCACTGTGTGAAAAAAAAGAACATATTTCCCATAAATGGGAATTTTGCCCCCACTGTCTCAAGAAATTTGTACTTCAATTAAAACTGTGGTCTTTAGAGGTAGAGTTAAACATTTCCTCATAGATTTTAGATTATGCAACTAATAAAAACTCTCTTGCTTTAATTATAGTTTTCTACACATAACAGGACATGACTACTGATTTAGGCAGGTTTTGTAAGTCCATGGTATTCTCTGGATTCCTGTAAAGGTTGATTACCCTTTTTGGTCTCTAGTTAAGTGTATGCCTTGTGTTTTTTGTCATAGGTTACATTTTTTTAAATTGGATGATAGGAACAGTATGACTATTAAATTTGCTGTTGGTATATACTATTTTTGTGTGTGTTTGAAACTGAACTGAAAGAACCAACTAATTGAACTGTTAAGACTTTGGCCATCCATTCCAGATTTTACATTATTATTGAACCTTGTCTTGAATTTTTCTTTGCCTTTTTTTTTTAATTGTGAAGATGGGTATTCCTGATTTTTTATTTGATATTGAAAAGCTTTGTATATTTTGGAAATTCAGAGCTTAATTTGATATAAAATAAAAGTTTGCATTCTACTCAGAAAAAAAGATAGATGATAGATAAATGGTAGATAGATAAATTATAGATAGATGATTGATAGATAAATGATAAATAGATAGATAAATGATTGATAGATAAGATAGATAAATAGATGGATAGATAATAACAGAAACACACACCACACACACACCATCCGGGGTCTGCAGCCTCTGAAGGGGTGGATTCCTTTAGAACAGTCATTCTAGAGAAGCTGTTATTTCCATTTCTATGGCGGTGGGTTTGTGTGCTCTTTTGAACAAATATCTACAGCTTAAAAAATAAACCCCAAGGGGTGAAGAAAGTCACCTTTCCTATTTCATCCTCAAACTGTGATCCTCCTGACCTCAGTCTCGCAAGTAGCTAGGCTGGCTTCGAACTGCAGTCTTCCTGATCTCTGCCTCCTGAGTAGCTAGGATCGCAGGCGTAAGCCACCCACACCCGGCTTCTACTTTGATCTTTAAAAAGAAAAGCATGGAAGACACACCTGAGTGTGAGAAGCCCACGTTTCAGTCATTTTCCTGTAGGTAGATGACAGAACCATAGTAGCCTGATATACAGTCACCCAAGCCCCAGTTCAACACATCACTCTATTAACGTGACTGGATGCTTAGATCAATAGCAGGTTGAAGAAACCAGCTTTCAGTGTGGACTTTATTTGGCAGAAGAAATCTAAGAAAGTCCGAGAAAGGAAGGGACTTTGAGAGGAAAGGCTTCCTTTAGGTGTCAAAGTTTCCAGAAATGGTTTTCCCCAAAAGTTAGGTCTTCAAGATGCAAAAGTAAGACTTCAGAAGAGGCAGAATGTATGGTTTGTCCTGACTTCTTTCTTTGGGCTTTCTTTTTTTCAAAGGGGAGGCATTTCACCTCTTGGAATAAAGGTGAATGACAGAACTCCACTAAAGGAGGATCCAGGGAGTCCAAGATCAGCCAGATGTTGTACAGACTCTGGAAGAACGTTGAGCCTGGGCAATGTGGTCGCATACAGCTCGTTCTCTTGGGGAAGATGGGTGAGATTGGAAGCCTGAGTGCTTTCTTTGAAAGACAGTATGACAAGCTGAAGGATGGATGGGGCATTGCCCACCCTTCTGGGAGAATAATGCCAAAGAATCTTAGAGGTGATGGCTGCTGGGACGAGGTAAAAGAGAAAAAGCCAGATGAGACACCCACTCTAGCTCCCCACCCCCTCACCAGCCTATGTGCACTGCTACCCTCACCCTATTGGCCTTCTGCACATGGTCTCAGCCACCTGGGCACAGGGACTAGCTCTGATTTAGCTGTCAATCCCCAGGGTCCAGAACAGTGCCTGGCATGTGTTCAGCTCTTGTAAACATTTAGGGTTGGAAGCTGAAAAGATGAGGTGTTTTCTTGTTTGAGAAGTGGCCTAAAAAGACAGACTTAGGGGCTAGACCACAGGCAAACCGGGCTCCAACCTACAAAAGGCTTCAAGGCCCCTGAAAGTGGTTTATTAAGACTCTTCTCAAGGAGATGCCAAGGTGGGAAGAATAAGGTGTCCAGTGGTGGGGACTTGACCTTCAGCAGGTGCTTCCCAATTGCCTTTGGAGCCATGCAGGTAGCTTGGCAGAGGGCAGCACCGAGCAGTCCCCCTTGACGGTTATGCTGCACTGGCCATCCTCTCAGAAAGCACTGACAGACACTTCCAGAATATCAGACTGATATGGTGACAGGTGACTTGCTGCTGGGGGATCTTCTGAGTCTATTCCTGCTAACTGTCTAGATGATGAGGATGTTAGGGGTGGTATCCCAAGTCTCCAGACACTAAAGAGAGTTGACTTTTCTCCCAGCATAAACTAGTTCTAGGACATTTTCCTCTGTGTAGAAACCAGCTCTGAATATGACAATGCAGTTAATTCTCTGCCTTTTCTGACTCATTATTTCGTGTCACAAAGAATATGTGCATTCTGAATTCAGCACTGACAATATTATCCTTTTTGGCCTGATGATCTAGCTGCAAACCTACCTATTTTTCTTTTATAAATTTGAGTCTCAACTAAGAGGAAAAAAGAACCATTTTTAATTACACACACACACACACACACACACACACACAGTGTCATGAACTGAAAATGGGAAAAAAAAATTCTCTCAAGTTCTCTCAGGGCTCAGCTGAATAAATAGAGCAAATGCAAGTTTCCAATTCCTCCTCCACAGCAAAGCAGCGCTGTTCAAGCCAATGGGGCGCCGATCATGTGCTGAAATCGTTTAAATGTTACTCGAGCTATAACACCACAAAACACCCTTTTGAGTAATATCCATGAAAATGAAGTTCTCAAGAGAAACGACACACTGAAAGCATCCCAGGAAAGCTATCTTAATCACGAGGGAGCTTCTTCACTACCCATGTCCAAATGCACAGTGACCACGGGTCGAGATGTACATCAGTGCGTTACCTTTATGAACGAATCCAAGGTTTCTTTTGAGTCATGTTCTGTCAGAGGAACATCTTCAAAATCTTTTCTCTTCTTATTACATTTCTTCAGCAGAAAAGAGGACAAAAATTCCAGAGGTTTGTCCTGAAAAATGATCCCCCAACAAAGAAAGTCCTATTTAAAACATTCAACTGAAATACAAGTCATCAAAAGTCCAGCAGGTAAAACACATATTTTTAGCAGAGTTTCTCAGCTTCTGTGTCCAGAAGCAAAGAGTGACTAGTAGTTAGAGTCAAAATATGTGACTTTCTAGTTAATCCTTTATTCTGGTTTCTACATATACTCACTTTGTTCTCAGTTTTTGTCACATTCAGTTAGTACACCAAAGTCTTGTGGAAAGGTCTCGATATAGTCAAGCTAAAGTAGCCCACAACAACCCCTCTGCCAAATGAGGAAAGGGGACAGGAAGGACCTCGTGGTGTCAGGGTATGGAAGAAGGCCTGGGAGGCAGGTCACGGCAGCAGAGTTGCTGGCAAACCGCCACCCCCCACCACACCCCCCTGGGTTCCCAATTTGCTTCCTCTTCAGACTGTAGGACTGAGCACCAATAAACTTATATGTGGTTCTTCCAACATCAAATGTGTTTAGCCATTCTTTGGCCTCAGGTCATCTCTGGGAACACCTTGCTCATGTTAGCAGCAAAGTTAGCCAGAGCCCTTGCTTGTTGGGCTTCCTGGGCCTCGGCCACAGCACCACTGAGCTGAATCCACAGAACGCGAATCACAGCTGACTGCAAGTCCACGTGGTGCATCTGAGTCTGCAGGTACCTCGTGCTCACCAAGAAGCCATGTGGAAACCAGAGCAGGTGCGTGGTAAGCAGGGGAGAGCAAGGTTACAGGCACCCACCAAGTAGCATTCCCATGGTGGAAGAGAACGATTGCATCAGTGAGAAGGATGACATCACCCCCATTCCTGTCCTATTTCTGACGTCCTCAACGCAGCCAACGGCATATTCTATTTTCCTCCAGCCTTACTGTCATCCTCAGGGATGGAAAGAGGGTCTGTGGACTAGCCTCTTCCTCTAGTTTTCTGAAATGTAGACTGACTTTTCTGGGAGAATATCCAAGATTTATTGCTATAAAAATGTTTCTTTAGGCTCCTCCCTTACCTGCCCTCATCCAAATTGTTGATTTGCTTCTATCTGTTTTCTGTGTTTTCTTTCCCATTCTCCTTCATCTACCCCCTTGATTTGCTGTCACACATTTTTTAGTTTTGTTCCCCATACTTGTAATTGTTTTCACTGTTGAACGTTTATGTGAAATATAAGGCCATGAACATATTTTTTTTAAGAAGTCACTTCTGATTGAAATTAAGCACAAGACAGAAAACAGTGCCAGTGTAATAGCCTTTAAATAACACAGAAGATCTGCCTGCTTCTCTCTTTTGTGTACCTAACACATCTCAGACCCAGGATTTCTCACTGGCTGTGTTTATAACCTGATGTAATTTCTCTGAGGTATTATGCCCAGACAGCTAAACTGCTGAAACAGAAAACAAAACTGATAAATGTAAATTAAAGTGTGGGTTTTGTTTTGTTTTCGCAGTACTGGGATTGGACTCAAGGCCCTAGGCAGGAACTTGGGCCATACCCCAAGCCCTTTTTGCATTGGTTATTTTGGGGGACAGGGCCTCCTTTTATATCCTGTCCAGGCTGGACAGTGATCCTTTGACTTATGCTTCCCTGCGTAGCTAGGATGACAAGTGTGTGCCACCTCACCTGGTTGAGATGGTGGGGGGTCTCACAAAATTTCTGCCTGTGGTTGGCAGTGAGCTGCAGTCCTCCTGATCTCTACCTCTTAAGTAGCTAGGATTATAGGCTTGAACCACACCAGCCAAATTAAGAATTTATTTAAGTGCTGGGATTTCTCGTTTGTTTTCTTCAATGAAACACTTACGGAGTCTTTTTTTGACAGCTCCATCAATCCATCTGCCAAAGCTTGTGATATTTCTTGGTTATTTAGAATGTTGGCCAAACTCATGCTGTCAAATAGAAATTGCCCTGTAAATATAAAGCCATTTGCCTTGTAATTAATTTGTATAAGAATGTGATAAAAAAGAAAACAACTCAGTCACTACAGTTGCTCTTTAGAGAACAAAAATGCAATAAATAGGAGTAAACATTTTATTAATTCTGATAAAATAAAAAGTGGGCCAAAGTGATTTAAATGGGCAGCATCTGAACACAAACTTATTTATGCTTATAAGTAAATATAAATGCAGCAAGATTGATTTGAACAAAGTCTACAACTAGGCCATAAGAGAGAATGCATGTAAAGGAAACTTATAAGTTAAATGTTAGGGGCTGGCAGAGTGGCTCAAGTGATAGAGTGCCCACCTTGCATGAGGCCCTGAGTTCCAACCCCAGTATTGCCAAAAAGAAAAAGAAAAAAAGAAAAGGAAAAATGTTAGATTCTCAATCCCACCAAGAATTCCTTCCCACTCCCCTTTACTTTGGGGCTCAAAATAGAAATATTTCAAGTCCATAGGAAAAAACATACAAAGGTACTTACACAGACATCCTTTAATTTTTTTAATATTTTGAATAACATATTTTTATTTGAAAAAAGTTTTTCCCACTGACTCCATTTTTTTTGGTATTTTTTTCTTTTCTTATTTTCCACTGACTTCTCATTGCCTACATGTCATTAAAATTTATTTCTACCTTTAATAGCTTACCTTTTCACTTTTCTTTCTAGCCCTCAATGTCTAAGAAAGAGCCAGATGAAATAATTTCTCCCTAATTACAGCTACATAACTATTTAAATATATTGTCTAAGAACCTCCTAAATGTGGTAGAGTAGGTAGTCAAGAAAATTAGAGGGCAACCCCTCTGGAGAAGGCATTTGTGTGGAGACCCAGGACGTTTATTGGTATGCACACACGCATGACTGCTGTTAGGTAGAGAGCAGCAGTGAAAATTGACATTTTATAAGGAGTGGGGCAAGGGGTGAGAGGACAGGCATAAATTTGTAATGACTTGAATGACACAGAATTTTAGTCAGATGGAAAGTGCTAGGAAAAATTGAAGAGATGGTTATAGATGGGGGCAGGGCAATTTACCCAGATGGTGGAAAGTACTCCATGTGAAAGAATGGATGAACTTAGGTGACAATTCAAGGTTGAGACAGTAAGTTGTTCCCCAAAGACCATGGTGTTAATTCAATCACGGTAATTGAGTGTGAATAGGAAAATTAAATCAGTGATGTCCAACAGGCTCAGCAAAGGACATGGATCTGGTCCCTAAGTCATGTATTTTAGACAGAAAATAAACAGAATTTGAATTGTAGAATAATTATGTGAGAGGTGCTGTGGGGTAAGAGGTGCTTTCCTGGGATGTTGGTGCCTAACTTTTAACACAAGTTGTAATGGAAAAAGGACATAGCTCTCTGGCTAGGCAAAGAGAAAATTTTGTCCAGGTCAACTTGACTGGTATGAGAACAAATAAGACGGCAAAATTCAAAACAGGAAACATTTTCAACATTTCGAACACAAACATATTTGTTTTTAGTAAGTACTCATTGTATTTGAAAGAAAACATGAAAAACAAAGGAGATGGTTTACTGAAGGTATTCAAGTTAAATTTTACTTGGGCCATTCCTGATCTTGAATTGGATCTGGTAGGAAATAAGTTGGTAATCACCTATCAGCCGGTCACTGATGCTCTTCTGCAAGGACTTGAAGCCAGGACTTAAGTTTTTCCTCACTGACTTCAAGGTGTCTTCCAGGAAGTCTGCGAGGCTGGACCAGGTCTGCAGCTTGGATTCACTGAAGTAGATGGAAGGAGGGCCCCTGTCCCACGGTGGTCCCAGCCAGTCACTAAGAACTGACATCGTTTTGCCCTTCATTATTAAAGACTTGAGCTCAGATGGAATAATTCAACTTCTTGTTTCAAGTACAACAAACTCAGTTGTCTTTATCATGGCTTTATTATATTTTCTCATTGAAAACTAAGATATTGGGTAAAATAAGAAATCCAATAAGGACACAATGAGTCATTCCTAACGCCTGTCTGTTTTTTGGTAGACAAAGCTGACGCATTCTATTTGAAATAAGAAGTTAAATAGCTGCTGTCTTGCATTTGGGGAAAGCAGAGTGGTCATGAAAAAAGGTGCTGCACTGTCTTTTCATTCTAAAAGTGAAAGCTCTCATTCCCGGCCATGCCGCTCAAAGTCAACCTGATGGTAGCCAACACTGCGTTTTTCTTAAATTAAGTCAACCTGTTGTATTTCTATATGACTGTATGGGTACTTACGAAAGTTCTCTCCTCAAAAATCAATATTGCATGGTGAAATGACACGATAAACTTGTCCTAAATGGACAGTCTTATTTACTTTGTTTCCCCTGCTCTTATTGAGAAACACATGAAAAGCTTCATTCTATGATCTTTTATCAGGAGAATGAGGAAAAAGGAAAAGAAAGAGGAACCAGAGAAAAGGGAGGAGAAAAAGAAGGGAACCTGCCATATTGCAAACAACAGCATCCACACCCAGCTCTGCTGGGCTGGCCGATTCCTCTCTCCACAGGGCCACATGTGCCATCCTGTGGGATGTTGTTACATGAACTAAAATGAACAAGTGTCTTCTGCTTCAAAACTATATGAAGGCAGCGTGCTTTTTGTTATAGTTACATAGAATCATTTCTCTTACAAGTTTCACAAAATTATGGCACCTTCCCCCAGTCCTGAAAGGCCCTTGTCATTGCGCCATAGTGAAGCAATGCTTTATGTAGTTTCTGCATCAGTCCCAGCCCTGTTTGACAGGAAGCAAGGGAGTTTCCGGGGGAAACTGCTAAGGGTCACTGTAGCAAGGTCATGTGTCTCTCGTGGACTGGCAGCGTTACACTTTCACCCAGTACTTGCAGCTTTGTATCTCAATACGAGCTTGTTTTCAGATGCATTTCTTCATTGCCTTCCCCCTCAGCTAATGGTGTGCCATGGGATCTGAGCAACACCCCCTGTCCTTATCACTGCAATTCACATTCCCAAATACAGCCATTTCGATTCTATTTTATCAGAAAAAACTACTCTTTCTACTTCTTAACGCTCTAGATGGACAGCTGTACATTTTTGCTGAACTCTTAAAGATGATGCTTTCAAGAGTTTCTGTAAATAATGTTTTGAATAAGAGGCAATAAATAAGCCTCTTTAAACAAATGACTCAGGATGTGAAATCACATATTTCGGGAGGTGACAGCATTCCCTCAGAGAAGGACATTAACTGAGGTTGTCCTTGCTGCTGTTATTAGCTACACTTGGTTGGTGCGTGTCATCAGTCGGTTCCATATACACTTACTGTGTTGGTAAGAGCCTGTTGCAATCCCAGTGGGGGCAGTGAAGAGTGTGCCAGTTAGTTGAGACAGCTGAGAAAGAACTTTCATGCCTGCCTCTGTGCAGTCAAAAATACTTGCATTAGTTCACTCATAGATTTTTATCAGGAACAGTTAAATATTACTTAGAAGCAACTAAGGAGCTGGCAAGAAAAGGCCAAGAACAGATTTCACATTCAGCTCAAATCCTTCCAAAACAGTCCATAAGCACTTTACAGCTCACTCCTAACTACAGAAGCCCAAGCATTTAATTGATGAGGACTAAGCTACAGGGTGGAGAAACACTGCATGGAGTTAGCCTGGTACTTACTTCCAACTTTGAAGTAACTTTCAACCCAAAGACAGGAAAAAAAACCTACATCTGTTAGAAAACATAATGTAACTCAAAGAATTCTTACTAGAAAAGAGCAGATTTAACACAGAATGGATTACAACAGTTAAAATTTAGTGTAGCAAGGGCTGGCAGAGTCACTCAAGTGGTAGAGCACCTGCCTAGCAAGTGTGACACCCTGAGTTCAAACCCCAGTACTGCTAAAAAAAACCAAAAAAAACCCAAAAAACCCATACTTTTCTCCAGAATGGATAAGAAACGTCTGAGAAAATTTAACTTTACTTCTCCCCCACTCTGCTTGGTAAAATGACAGAGGTGTGAATGTATATCCTCTTAAGATAGTTTCCAAAGAGTGAACTTGACCTAAAGTTTCTGACTTTTCCCTTTAAGCACTGATGTCAACTTTGAATCACAGTGGTGGACTCCAGAGAGGGAATCCTCAGCGATCATCAGCCACACTCCCCTTTATTAAGCACGTCACCATTTGCAATGCTAAGTACTTGTTTTTATTTTTCCCATTTAAATAATTCTGCTATTTAGCTGTTCACAAGGTCAGGTAAGTTACCATATCCTAACTTTCACAGGAAGAAGCCAAGGTCCACAAACTTGCCTACGGCCACATGGCCAACTAGTAGCCTGAGGATACTCAAGTCCAGGCCCTGGGTCACCAAGTCCATGGTCTCTCCAGGTTCCTATGTTATGGACTCTGGTTTTATTGTGCTTTCCAGAATAAGCTAAGGCTGCCGGGGTCTTTCCATGAGTAACTTCATTTCTGCAGACACAGGTTGCTCTGATCCTATCTCTAACCCTACTTCCTACAAATAACTGTCCAGGTGAGGTGTAAACAGAGACACTGAATTCCAAGGGTCATTTGGCATGAGGGCATTTCACAGACTCACAGAACAGTGTGGCCACGGCCTGTCTATAGCGTGTGTAGAACTGACCTGATGCTCCAAGTGGCACGAACAAGTCCACGTGTCCCCCTTCTTCTTCAGTGGCCACGTGACTTCCTAATTTCTCCCAGAAATCTCTCACTTCGGGCTTCAGTAAATTTTTAATACCAATTTTATAGCCTGAGGGGGGAAAAATCAAACTGTCATGGTAGTTTGGAACAGCAGCTGTCAGCAGTTTGTGACAATGCGACCACAAATTCAACAGGCAACACCTACCCATAGGGCCACGATCCACAGGCACCTGTATGTCGTGCCACTGAGGTGCACTGGACACCACTGTGGCATATGCTTCCTCGTGCTCTGGGTTAAGGGGACCCTGTGTGCTTGGGCTTGGGAGATTGTGTTCTGCCTCCACCCCACAGCGGTGGAGTCACCAGGCTCACGCTGAGTGTGGAGCAAATGGCCAGTCAAGTCCTGGGATCCTGAGACCAAGCTCCAAAGCAGAAAACCTCCCACAACTGTCAATCAAAAACTAAGTTCAGAACAGCAGCAAGCTCCCAGAGCTGCAAACATTCACTGAAACTGTCCTTTCCTCTCTCTTTCTGGGAAGTGATTCAGGAACGCAGCCATTTTGTGACCTCTTTGCTAGCTGGATCCTTGAGCATCTTCTTTCCTCCCTCAGCCCACAAAGACAAGATCTGGTGTTTGGACAGTGTGAAACAATGGGCAATGTGAATTACATAAGGAACAACAGAAACTAGAAGTTAAATTCTAAGACTCCCATCGCCTCCTTCCATGAAGAAAGCCTTATGAAATTCATGCCATGACAAGTTAATTCTGTCAGCCTTTTCTTTCTGCTGTGGTACAAGCCAGGTGGGGAAGCAGCAGAGGGTGGACGTATCCACAGTCTACACATCTTGGAATTCATTGCTATTGCAATTGCTTTGTGTTCATCAAGGTTAAACCTCTGGTGTATCAGAGGACACAGTGAAAACGAAACCCCTGGGATGGGAGAAGATAATTGCAAGTCACGTATCTGATAAGGGATTTATATCTAGAATATGTGAAGAACTGCAACCCAACCTATGTGCAAATCAAATAACCCAAATTTTTAACACGAGCAAAAGACTTGAGTGGACCTTTCGCCAAAGGAGAGATGGCCAGGAAGCAGGAAAAGAGGCTCAGCCTCACTCCTCATCAGAGAAATGCAACTCAAAGCCACAATGAGGGTGGCCACTATTTTAAAAACTATAAAATTACAAGCAAAACCTATGGAGAAATTGGTCCATGTGTGCATTGTTGGTGCCACAAACATGATAGCACAAATTTAAAATAGAAAGCCACCATATAATACTTCTGGCTACAAAATGATGAAAAGCAAGAACTCAGATAGATATTTGAAGGTCCATGCTTGGAACTATGTTATTCACAATGGCCAAGAGGTAGAAACAACCCAAATGGCCATAGATGGTCAAACTGACAAAATGTAGTATGTGCACCCTGTGGAATATTATCCAGCCTTGAAAAAGGCTACGACATGATGAAACTTGAGAACATTACGGTAAGTGAAATGCATCAGGCACAAAAGACAAAGGCAAGGGATTCGCTCATACATGGTGTCTGAGGCCAGTAGAATGATGGCTGCCAAAGGTCACACACAGCTAAGGGAAAACGACTCATTGTTAAATAAACACACAGAGTTTCAGTTTCACAATATGAAAAAGTTCAGCAGAACTATTTTACAACAATGTAAGCATACTTAATACTACTGATCCCTACACTAAAAATGCTTGAGAATAACTTTATGTTGTGTTTTTAATCATAATTTTAAATAACTTATCACATTTATTTCACTTTCATCATAAAGCCAAAATCAACACTCCTTAGCAAACTGGAACCAAAATGTACTCTGAAAACTATATGTGGAGAAACACGCATGAGCAAAACCCCTGCCCAGGCCTACCTTGGAGTAAGTTGATTTCTCTGCTGTCTCCATCACTAAATATTCCCACACTCTGTGCCTTCCGGCCCTGCAGCGCTCTCTCTGTGAGCCAAAGCAGGCTCTCTAGGGTGACACCGCTGTGTTCGTACACCACAGCCACCACACCTGCCTTGACACTCTCCATCACCATCTAGAAGACCAAAGCACAGCTGGAGGAACAGCCTACTGTTGTAGAATGGGGTTTTTGTTGCTGTCGTTGTTGTTATTTTGGTCTTTTTTTTTTTGGTGGGAATGGGATTTGAACTTTTGGCTTTGCACTTGCCAAGCAGGTGCTCTACCTCTTGAGCCACAACCTGTAGTCCATTTTGCTCTTGTCATTTTGGAGATGGGGTCTCGAGAACTATTTTCCCCAGTCTGGTCTCAAACTGTGATCCTCCCAATCTCAGCCTCCCCAGGAGTTAGGATTACAGGCATGAGCCATCAGTGCCAGCTGGAATGGTTATTAATGAAAGAAATACAGTGCATATTGAATAAGCTGTCATTCCAAAGAAAACTTTCAGAAGTTACAGGACACAGGAGCTAAGTCTTCTCCTCTACTGGTTTCTTTACAAATTTTTTTTCCGGTTATAAGAGAAGAAATTTAAGTTCACTCATAACTCCATCACTTGGAAATAAATAGCATTAATGGTTTAGATTATTTTCTTCCAGGTTTTTAATCTTTATACTTGTCATGCACAAAGACACATGCAAAACTTTTTTTAAAAATCAAGAGGATGCAGTTTTGCAATGGACTTTTTTAAATAGATGTAAAGCTTTCCCCTAACTAGGAATATTAAAATTAAAATGAGTAACTTTATTATATAGAGAGCATATTTTAATCTAATGACATATTATTTAAATAGACCACAAAGTAGGACTACTAACATTCTTTTTTGAGAACATAGCATTATTAAACTCAGAACTTCAGAGAAGTTTTAAATTTTTAAAAAATTATTTAAAAAATTTTTTGGTGGTACTGGGGTTTAAACTCAGGGCTTCATGCTTGTTAGGCAGGCGCTCTACCACTTGAGCCACTCTGTCAGCCCTGTTTTTTTTTTAATTTTTTTTTTTTATTATTCATATGTTCATACAAGGCTTGGGTCATTTCTCCCCCCTGCCCACACCCCCTCCCTTACCACCCACTCCGCCCCCTCCTTCTCCCCCCCACCCCCTCAATACCCAGTAGAAACTATTTTGCCCTTATTTCTAATTTTGTTGTAGAGAGAGTATAAGCAATAATAGGAAGGAACAAGGGTTTTTGCTGGTTGAGATAAGGATAGCTATACAGGTCATTGACTCACATTGATTTCCTGTGCGTGGGTGTTACCTTCTAGGTTAATTCTTTTTGATCTAACCTTTTCTCTAGTTCCTGGTCCCCTTCTCCTATTGGCCTCAGTTGCTTTTAAGGTATCTGCTTTAGTTTCTCTGCGTTGAGGGCAACAAATGCTAGCTAATTTTTTAGGTGTCCTACCTATCCTCGTCCCTCCCTTGTGTGCTCTTGCTTTTATCATGTGCTCAAAGTCCAATCCCCTTGTTGTGTGTGCCCTTGATCTAATGTCCACATATGAGGGAGAACATACGATTTTTGGTTTTTTGAGCCAGGCTAACCTCACTCAGAATGATGTTCTCCAATTCCATCCATTTACCAGCGAATTATAACATTTCGTTCTTCTTCATGGCTGCATAAAATTCCATTGTGTAGAGATACCACATTTTCTTGATCCATTCGTCAGTGGTGGGGCATCTTGGCTGTTTCCATAACTTGGCTATCGTGAACAGTGCTGTCAGCCCTGTTTGTGTTGGGTATTTTGGAGATAGGATTTCCTAAACTATCAGCCTGGGGCTGGCTGTGAACCTTGATCCTCCTGATCTCTGCCTCCAGCACAGCTAGGATTACAGACATGAGCCACAGGTGTCCAGCTAAAGATCTTTTTGGCCAGTCTCATAGCCCAGACTGGCCTAGAACCTCTTATGTAGCCTTGCCTGGCCTCAAACTTGCCATCCTCCTGCCTCAGCCTCCTGAGTACTGGGATTACAGGTGTTCCCCACCACACTGAGCTTTTTCTTAGTAGGGTTTTGTAAAATAATTCTTATCAGGATGCTGTTTTTGGATGAAGTGCATCGAGTGCAGTTCTGCAGGTGACTTGGAGACCTGCTGTGCTCACGGCAGTTCGGGCTTCTAATGCTTTCTCAAAATAAAGTTTGTGGTTATCTTTCTTGCTCCTGAGTTTTAAAACTTGCTTTTGATCTATAAATTTTCACTTAGATCAGGCAGTTTTCCTTTTAGAGATGATTATTTTCATTCTCATGGTGGTCAAAAAGAGTGCTATGTTCCCTCTAGGTTAGATGGAAAAGTCACTCAGGAAAGGGCTGGCCTCATCTCACAGTCTGTACCTCGTATGCAGGAATCCGAGTTGATATTAATATCATGTGCAGCTGGTAGGCATTTGAAGAGCTGTCATTGCTTTTATAAACGCCATGCTGATCGCTCTTTGAGAGTAATGGATAGCAATGGCTTCCAGAAACACTGCTTCTACAGGGACAAAGGGGGAATCGGTGAAGTTCTATTTTTCTGGCTCTTTCCTTCTTCCCTCCCTCCCTCCCTTCCTTCTTTCCTTCCCTCTTTTGACAGTACTGGGGTTTGAACTTGGGGTCTCACATCTGCTAGGCAGGTGTTCTACCACTTGAGCCACACCCCAGCACGTTTTTTTTCAGGTAGGGTCTCACATTTCTGCCCTGAGGCCAGCTGCAGACCCTACTCCTCCTACCTATGCCTCCTGCATGCTGGAGCCACAGGCACACACTACCACACCCACTGATTTGTTAAGATGGGGGGTCTCACTAACTTTTTGTCCAAGCTAGCCTCAAACTGAAATCCTTCCAATCTTCTTGTACATCTGGGATTACTAGCATGATCTACTGCACCTGACTCTAACCTGACTTTTGATAAGTAAGCACCAATCCTCTGAACATCAGCTATACTGCACGAGGCTACTGGCTGTGGAGTCTTAGGTTCTCCCTGCAATTTGGGGGAGAGCAGCAAATGGGGCTTCTGAGTGGGGTGGAACCAAGTCTGCCCTTTGGGTCTCTCCTTCTCCTTACATGGGATGTGGAAAAGGTCTCTTGGAGCTCACTTAGCTTAAAATTAATGTTATGATGTACCTATGAATTCAAAATGATATTTTAAAAGGAGTATGGTAGTACATGCCTATAACCCCAGCACTTGGGAGGCTGTGTCAGGAGGATCCAGAGTTCAAGATCAGTCTAGGATTCAGAGTAAGACTATCTCAAAAAAAAAAACACCCAAAAGTTAATTACATTTTCAAAAGGAGTAACCAAGGGATTAAATTTTCTTCTGAGATTTACAGGTTTCCGACCAATGTCTCCAGTCTGTCCACAGCCACCCCTTCCCCACATCACCAAATTGTTTATACACCTCAAATGAGTAAATGCAATGACACACTCACAAATGTTCGGACACAGAGAGCCAGGCAATGTTAATGCTGGGATTCTGCAGATTTAGGCTCCAGTGTTTGACACCATAAATTCTGGGCAAGAGATGTCACTTCCCTAGGCCTCAATTTCCTCCCTTGAGACAGGAAGTAAGATTACAAGACCTCTCAAATCTTAAAGTAAGGGGCTGGTGGAATGGCTCAAGTGGCAGAGCATCTGTCTAGAATCTTAAAGGAAAAAAATTTTTTTTTAATTTCTAAGCAGCTGCACAAATTGTGACAATTACAAATGCCAGTATCGGTGAATAGGGTAGGAATTGAACTGCTGACACTTTCATTACACTGCAGGACTTTGGACATCGAGTGCAGCCAGAATTTCTCTAATCTGAGTAACAAAAGAGAATTGCATTTACATTAGGTCTTAAAGATATAAACAAGTTATAGCTGCATCTATTTCGAGACTGCTTTACTTTGGATCTGAAGCGTCCCCCAAAAGTCCATGTATTAAAGGCTTGGTCCCCAGCCTGGTGCTACTGGGAGGTGGTGGAACCTTTATGAGTGGGACCTAGTGGAAGGAAGTAGGTCATTGTTGGGGGGTGCCCTGAAAGTGATGCTGGGACCCCAGTCCTTCCCTCTTGCTTCCTGGGTACCCTGAGGTGAGCTTCATCCTCCACCGTGTGCTCCAACCATGATGTACTTGTGCCACTACAGGCCCAAAGCAACCGGGCCAAGTGACCATGGACTGAAACCCCACTGAAATAAACTTTGTTCCTTTAAGGCTGATTTAGCTCAGGTATTTGCTAGAGCAATGGAAAGCCAACTGATGCAAAAAAAATTTGGATTTTTATGGAGTATGATAAATAAAAAGTCATTTTATTTATACTCCATAAAAAAGCATTTATGGGAAATACCTTTCTTTTTTTTCTTGGCAGGCCTGGGGTTTGAACTCAGAGCTTTGCACTTGTAAAGCAGGCATCCTACTGCTTGAGACACACCTCCAGTCCATTTTGCTCTGGTTATTTTGGAGATGGGGGTCTTGCAAACTATTTCCTTGGTCTGGCCTCAAACTTTGATCCTCTTGATCTCAACCTCCTACATAGCTAGGATTACAGGCATAAGCCACTGCACACAGAGGAAATGTCATTTGTGCTGAACAGCTTTGTGCTGTCCACAAAACAGCCTCATTGCAGGGCTAAGAATGTATTAAATGTAGACTTCAATGTTCGTATTTCCCTCTCCAGCATGCATTCAAGACCACCGTTCTTGAAAACTAAGTAATTCTTTGCTCTGATATTTCATAGATTAGGAACCACGCAATTACAGAGATCCCTCCAAGCTAGCTAAATTATTCTGGAATGGAGTGTCAAGAGCCACAGATGTCAAGAGCCATCAGGACATGGAGGTTTGCTTACCGCTTGGGCAAAGCTTCTAACGATTCCAAAACAAGCTGTCTCTCCAAAACTTCACCGAGTCCCACTGGCTCCGTCCCCATCTGGGAGAGCCACGGCTGGCCTTTGGACTTCAGCCTTCTAGGGCAGCACGTTCCACTCATCCACGGGGGTCGGACTCTGAACAACTCCTCTGAAAAACAGCAGCAGCTTTGCTGTTCACTTTGGGCTGCTCCCAGCCAAGCCCACACAGACAAAGGCATCACAAATAAAGCCATGCCAGGACAACGTTCCAAGTGACAATAATTACAGCCAGCCTTGCATGCTGTTAGGATTTCTTACCCTCACAGCACTGTGGCTGGAAGTTATCAGTTACTTCAGGTCAAGAAACACAGCTCAGAGAACAGCAACTCCTCTGGGGTGGTGGGGGGGGCCATGGGCCCATCCATTCCTGCCCTTCTTGGCTCAGGTCATCTCCCACTTGTTCCAATCTCCCCAGAGGGTAAGTCGTGAAAAAAGATGAGAGGACTCAAGTTGGCTCATGGCTGACCTTTGCACACTGTGACTCTGAAGGCTTAGCTGCAAGCTTGTTCTTGAACATACTTTCTTGCCCTTTTTCTTTATGGTTAGAGCATGGCTCAAGCGGTAGAGTGCCTGCCTAAGGAGCACAAGGCTCTGAGTTCAAACCCCAGCACTGCCAAGGAAAAACGTTCCTAAAAATGCTATTTTTCCTGCCTCCATTTCATTTGTCTTCCCTCCTCACCCATCTCAATCCTTCTGTCCTGAACCTATTTCTTGGTTTTTGCCTATGTTTGTACTTTCTTTTTCCTCCTTGTTTTTGGTCTTACAACCCTGAAAGGAACTAGGACAGCAACTGAGGCCCTGATATGTAACCCTCACATATTTCATCTGAATTCCTTTTCTTTTTTTATTACTAATTAACTTAAAATAGACAGTAAAGGAAAAACCCCGCAATGAACATCTGTGAGAGAGGGCCTCACATGCTGTTCCAGAATAACACTGCTGCCATCCTCTGTGGGGATTTGTGTGTAATCCATTTGTTCCTGAGATACAAAGTTTGCAATCCTACTCACTCTTACGTAGTGCAATTTTCTCCCAAAGTATTTTCCTCAGGCACTTTTCTCGTCGCCTCTCCTGGAGCTCCTCATCCTCTGTTTTGGGTTCATTCAGTGTCCCATAAGTAGCAGCGGCTTCCCTGGGTGTTAACCACTCCAAGCTGGACACACAAGCTATGTAGTGGTTCTTCCAGGCACCATACTCCTTATCTGCTGGCGTGTAGGGCAGCAGCCACCCAAATTTAATGCATTTGGGCATCCATAAGCAGTCCTTCAGGGAAAGAAACAAGAGGACAAGCTGCAAGCATTTTAAAGGATAATTTTCCAGAAATAATGTTTTAAGCTTCAGAGATAACATTTTTTGTTACATTGAGCTTTCTGGTGTAATTGACTTGACATCTAAATGTGACTCTGAAAAATAGGAAGTAGGAAATATGTTCTTTAGTGAATATATATGTGTGTGCACATGTATGTATGTATATATATATGTACATATATATACACACACACAAATATATGTATCAGTCACTTTGTGACACTTTCCAACTTTCCTATAGCCTTCAATTGTTTTAACCCTAGAGTCTGAGAATTCAGCTTCTATGGTATAATCATTTGTTTTAGATAATCATTCCACAGAAAAGAATTTTTATGGAACCCAATATTATACTACCAACATGCGATCATTTGTGACACATGAAAATAGCATACTTCATGTGGTTCAATGTAGTCACATATCTAGACAAAATATTATACAAAAAAATTTTTGAGCAAGGTATGGTGGCTTACGCCTGTAGTCCCAGCTACTCAGAGGCTGATGTTAGATGATCACTTGAGCTCAGGAGTATAAGAGCCATCTGGGCAACATAGCATGATGTCTTTCAAATAAAAATTTTTTGAAGTCATTGTATAGCTACCAATGCAGCCAGTACTTATGCCATCAAGACCTCAGAGGGAAAGGAAACCCAGAGAGGCAGACCCAATATTTGTCGTCACGTTTATTTCAAGGCATTTTTGGCAGTTCTAAAGTAAACCTTACTAGGCTGAGAAACAGAGATGGAGGTTGTGGCTGAAAAACTTAGGAACTATAAAGAATCCCAGGGATTCTAATGTGGAAAAAAAGAAACAAACCAAAATTCAGGGCCCAGTATAGGAAAGAGCTGTGGTGATCACACGAGGCTTGAGTTGAGAACCTTTTCAGGAAGAATGCTACTGAATTGCAAGGACTGAAGCCAGCTTGGAAATAGCTCATCCCATGATTGGATTTGCCCACTCTGTTCATAGCTTAACCAAATGAAAGAGGCAAAAGTGAACTGTCTCTGGAGGCAGATAACATTGTCCAAAGATTCAAATGATCACATCAATGTTTTATACACAAACTCTGGTGCTCAACCAAAACCAACTAGATCACACAAAAAGGAATTGTTTGTTTCTTCTTTTGGTTTTTAGTAACCACAGAGAGATCCTCAAGAGAGCCAAACATTGTAAGACATAAACTTTGAAAAACAAGCCACCCTACAATTATTATACATAAAAATATAAATGGCCAAGTGGAAAATTTTGGCAAAAGAAGCAAATCAGTTGAATTCTAGAACTGAAAAATATAATAACTAAAATTTAAAATTCAATGAATGGGTTTAGAAATAATTAATAAACTGAAAGATATGTCAGAAGAAAATCCAGACTGAAAGACTGAAAGCCAAAAGAATGGAAAATCCATATAAGAGCACATGGAATTTGGAGTTTATAGGATGTGGTAAATCAGTCTAACATGTAATTATTGGACTATAAAGAGAAGAAGAGAAATAGGGTAAAAGCAACATGGGAAGAGTTAAGATCTGAAGAATTCTCAAAGCTGATGAAAGAAAGACATTAAATCTTGGATTAAAAAATCACTGCAACCTGGGCGTGGCTGCACACCATGTGATTACAGAGGTCAGGAGGCTGAGACAGGAGGATCAGGAGCTTGAGGCCAATCTCAAAACAGAAAACAAACAAACTCAGAAAAGAAAACAAAACAAGGTAACAAAAATCACTGTAAAACACAAAGTAGAATAAATATGCACAAATAAACACATATATACCTAAGTACATCATAACAAAAATGCTGGAAATGAAAGACAGAAAACAGTGTGAAAAGCAACCAGAGACAAGGAGAAATATTAACTTTAGAGGGTAAAGGGGGTGATTATGAACAAAATGCTTCATACACATGTATGAAAATAGAATAATGAAACCTGTTAAGTTGTTTCAAAGTTGGGGAGGATGGGAAAGAGTATTAGTGAAGGTGAATTTGATCAAAGTACATGATATGTGTGTGTGCAAGTGTTACAATGAAGCACCTTTGTACATTTAGCATATGTTAATAAATAAGAAGGGAAATACCATCTTCAAAGGAACAATTAGTTTCTGACTCCTCAAGAGAAAGTTATGGAAGCTGGAAGACAATGGAATATTTTTTGTCTTAAAATTCAAATTCCCAGTGAAAATATCCTTCAAATATGAAGATAAAATACAGATATTTTCAGACAAATAAAAACTAAGAGAATTTATTGGCAGCTGACTTGTATTAAAAAATTAGCTAGCATTTGTTGCCCTCAGTGCAGAGAAACTAAAGCAGATGCCTTAAAAGCAATTGAGGCCAATAGGAAAAGGGGAACAGGTACTAGAGAAAACGTGAGATCAAAAAGAATTAACCTAGAAGGTAACACACGCACAGGAAATCAGTGTGAGTCAACTCCCTGTATAGCTATCCTTATCTCAACCAGCAAAAACCCTTGTTCCTTCCTGTTATTGCTTATACACTCTCTACAACAAAATTAGAAATAAGGGCAAAATAGTTTCTACTGGGTATTGAGGGGGTGGGGGGGAGAAGGAGGGGGTGGAGTGGGTGGTAAGGGAGGGGGTGGGGGCAGGGGGGAGAAATGAACCAAGCCTTGTATGCACATATGAATAATAAAAGAAAAAAAAAATACTAAAAAGAATTTCAAAGGAAAATGATCCCAAAGGGAAACGCAAAGATACAGGAAGATATGAAGAGCAACAACAACAAAAATAATAATAAATGTGTGGTTACATATAAATAAATTTTGACTGTATAAAACTACATATATAAAGTTCTGTGACATATGTGTGTTTGTGTATTTCATATGTATTCATGTATACAGTCAGCTCTGCATCCTGAGGGCATTAAGTATTATAAGTAATCTAGAGATGATTTAAAGTATACATGATTATAGGAAAATACTATATCATTTTATATAAAGGATTTTAGCAGACATGGACTTTGGTATCTTTGAAGGGAGAGAAATAGGCTGGAACCAATCCTCTGTGAGTACTCAGGACGCTGTATGTGTATTACACACACACATACACACACACACACACACACACTTGCAATATTTGCCAACAAAAGCACAGAAAGTGAGTTGGAATAAGTGGAGTTAAAGGGTTCTAAACTCTGCATCGTCTTGGAAGTGATAAGATAATACAGAATGCATACGATAATTAACTAAAGCTTAAATTGTTTTTCATGAAAAACAATGAACATCTATAAGATAAAATGTTTTTAAATTATTATATTGAATATTTCAAGACTTTAAAAAATTACCTAAATCATTGGAACAATGCCTAGCTACTTGGTTATAAAATAAATTATTATATTTCACTATTCCCACTATTCATATGTTTTTCTCTTAAGGGTAACGTAACTATGATGCAGGCACCCTTAGCTATTGTCTTCATGGAAAAGAGCAACTCCAATTGCTTCAGTACAGATTACAGTTTTATTTCTGCCCTATTCCTAGGAAGTGACAAATAGCAAACCTGCTCAGTTAAAAATTTCCAGGGCCAGCTGACTTGAGCAGCTGCACACAAGTCTTTTGGATTCAGAAAGGAAAAGATATACAGAGAAATGAAGCGTGGCAAAATTGTAGAGAAATCCACTCTGGCCACTTGTTTCCTTTCCGAAAACCAGTCCTGGACAAACCTAAAAAAAGAAAGACAAAATTAGTTCAGAATACTAACATATAACATCAACTAAAAATCCAGTATAAATTCTGGTCATTGTTTTTTCTCCAGTGTCCTGCCTACAAAAATAATTAAATCCAGGGCCCGGAGTATATGTCAGTGGTAAAGTGCTCATCCGGTCTAAGTGAGGTCCAGGATTCCATCCCCAGCACTTAAAAAAAAAAAAATTGCGGACAAACATTTTTTACAGGGCCAAGTCACCAAACAGGTGATCCTGTTTGTATGACAATTGCTAGAACAAGAAGGTTTGGAAACCATCCAGACAGCAGTAAACCTGGTTTTTCCCTGAAACCCCTTATCTCCTCCAAACTCCGTGAAATTGCAGACATTTGTGGCCTGTAATATCACAGGCAATTGGAAGCTTTGCTAGGGTTTTGATGAGTGAGAACCCACCACAGCTTCTGATCTCAGGCTTTGAGACTACAGACCTTGCTCCCACTGCTAAGTGCCTACTGCTATCCAGTGTTACTGGGCCCTAAAAGACACAGATTAACTTACTGAAAAAGAAGTCATAACTGAGCAATTCTCACTCTGCAATGGTTCGCTAACTTAAATTCCCAGAGGATGGCATCAAGTTTCATGTGAAATGAAAATGGCTCCTCTAATTAAGAATAAAAAGACATAGTCACCACCTTCATGAATGGGCCACTGAACACCCAATAGACCCAGAGATGGTCTTGACCACTACTTTACCCAAATTCTGGCTTCACCTGGAGCCTCACCTACAAGTCTCAAATCCCAAACCCAGCATAGGTCACTGATGAAATAGTCTAACAGTCCAATATCAAGAAGGCAACTCCAATTCAGCATAATGGTGAAAAACCTGATTACTCACCGTGTTGGGTGACCGTGTGATAGTTTGAACGCACCAGGAGCCTAGTATTCTGTCTTGAGGCTAAGATTTAGTTGGTCAGCTTCTAACTGTGTAGTCGTGCCATTGGACCATGCAGGATCGGGATATTGTGGGACCTCCTTATGAATCAGATTATCACACCTTAATTGTGAATTCAGTTTTATGTTTAGTCTACATATCATATGAAGTGACCTTATCATTTTTGTTTGTTTCTTTTTGACAGTATTGGGGGTTGAACTCAGGGCCTAGCACTTGAAAACATTGAACACGTCTAAGATTTATGTCCAAAAGATTTACAATAGTGAACTATCCTAGGAGACTGGAATACCTGGCAAGGAATTTTTTAATCCATGCTGAGGCCATTGCTCCACAAAGCCTGGATGATTTATAAACTACACCCAACTTGGATGTAGACCTATAAGTCTAGCTCTTCCATGTGTCCTCAGATATTATTTGGGGTGGGGGGAATTAGCTAGGATTTGAATTCGGGGCTTGCACTTGCTAGGCAGATACTCTACCACTTGAGCCATGACCCAGCCTGGGTCCTCAGTTATAAGTTGCAAACAGTCACACCTGCCTCTGCTGCAGCTGAGCTGCTTTGGTGTGCAGGAGTCAGTGGGGAGTGAAGAAGAGGATTTGGGGGGAGATAATGTGCCACTCCCTTTATTCTCAACTAGAACTCATGCGAAAAGGCACAGTCCATTCCCCTCTTCTCTTTGTCATGCTTGGCTTCACCTCAATGGACAGCAATTCACCTTGCTGTCACTGAGGACCACCCACATGGACAAGGATTTGAACACTGACTGCCTGAGGGTGCACTGGTGGTTACCCTCTTCTCTCCTCAGAGCTCACTCGCAGTTGTAAAATGGCAACTCCCAACTTCTATGATCCTGTGGAATTCATCAATCCAGGAAAGGGCAGTCTGGATCATTGGGTGGGGGAGGGGTGCGAACAGCAAGTAGGTGAGGTTGAAGAAGGATGCCAAAGACTCCTTACCTACTATGATACAGAGCAGCCTCCCTCTCCCAAGACAGCCTTCTGAGGCTCTTACAATGTTGGGTGTCTTTCCCACTTGGCACAGCTGTGTGAGATTTTATTAACACTCACTTGAGAACAACACATAAAACCTGCTATAATTCACTGCCAGGTTAAGATGATGTGGAGAAGAGCCTCAAGTCCCAGGGGCTGGAGCAAGAAGAGACAGATCCAGACGGTCCTTTTCCATGGGCTTAGGAGAGAGCTCCCCGGTAGATCTGGTTTAGCCCAAAGGAAGAACAACTGCTAAGTTCCAAGATTCCCTTTCTAACAGGGCAGCTATCTTCATGAAGGAGCCACCATTATCACCTGGTCCTATAAACCTCTTCGTTCTCCTCACACATGCGATAAATATAGATAGGAGTCTCTTTCCACTGCACTCACACGTTGGCCCAAGGTCACGGCGCCCATTTCCACATTGCTTAAGCTGTGGGATGATGAACAGTGAAGAGAATGCATGACCTGCTACTTCTCCATTTATAAAGCTTTTCCTAATAAACTGTTCTACATGTGCACTTCATCACGTGAAAGAGAGAGAGAGAGAAAGAGAGTGTGTGTGTGTGTGTGTGTGTAAAACCCCTTCACATGGCAGAGGACAGTTCTTGGCACACAGCAGGCACTCAATAAATATTTATTGAGTAGATGTGTGACAGGAAAGTGAAACCTCTACCACCATCTGCTAGGAAAAAGTCAGTGTTTGAAAGCTCACATCTAGGTTTTCATTGTGTAAAATTATAGAATTGAGGGCATCCTATGTGCTTTGCTTTTCTTCCTTACATTGGAAAGGAGCCAGTAGTTACCTGACTGTATGGGATAGAACTGGGGACCTGGAAGTTTAACTGGTCCTTCTGCAGACTTTCAAATAATCTCCCTGATATTAGCCTCCAAGTCCCGGTCTCTGTAGGATCCTGTGCAATGTACTGGAGGGTGTGCTCCTCATCAATGTCCTCCTCCACATGCTAGGTTTGGTGTGCCTTTTGTTCTTCATCATTTACCATTCAATTTCTACTTGCACCCTTGTCATTTGTGTTTATAGATGTCTCTTAGTTTCATCCAAAGTAGAATATAAATGTGTTTCTTATTCTTCCATGTTTTGGGGTGAATTTCAAGAGAAAGGGGCTATAAAAATATTTTTACTGTATCAATTTAAAACTGGAACTCAAGGGCTGGAGGTGTGGCTCAAGCAAGTACAGTGCCCACCTAGCAAGTGTAAAGTACCGCCAAAAATAAATAGTAAAATAAAACTTGAACTAAAGATTTTTTTATTTATTTTTTCAAGTTTTTAATGGAATTGAAAGTCAAGGCAAAGGTATAGTCAGATTTTCTTGTGTGTGTGTGTGTGTGTGTGTGTGTGTGTGTATAGCAGTGCTAATGGAAGAAATCTATTTTATTTCTTTTCCCTTTTAAACGACAACTTCTGACACAAGACCAGATTTTGTTCCCCACTGGAGCTAAGTTATATCATGTGGTTTATTTATTCCTACTTTTGTTAGCCCCATTCTAAAGTGCAGTCATTTCTCCTGATTGAATAGCAGCAATAGAAGACACTGACCTGGTGCTTATAGGCCCACGATAGGTTCACTCAGACTGGCAGGGGTTGAGTGAACACCACTTAACAAAGTAGCTAGCCTGGCCTCTTCAAAAGTGTCAATCATATAAGACAAGGAAAAAGTGAACACTTGCTCACATTGAAGCTGGATCTAGAGATATGAAGACTGAGTGCAACAGGTGACCCTGGATTGGACTGTGGACTGTAGGAAAGGGTGCTTACAAAGAGCATTATGGAAGGCCCAGGGGATATTTCAGTGGGCCTGTGACTGGGCGGCAGCATTGTGTCCTGCTGGTTGGCAGATGCACTTTGACTCTTCAGTGGATTGTCTTTGTTGGGAAACAAACTGACATACAACTTACTCTCAAATAATCCAGAACAATAAGGCAAAATGGGTAAAATATGAACTATTAAAATGAAACCTGTTAAGTTTTAATCAAATGCAGGAATCCAGGTGAAAAAGATAAAGGAATTATGTGAACTTTTCTGTAAGTTTAATGATATCTAATGTGTTTTGTGATGACTCCCCTGGCCTCATTTTAAGTCACTACTCTTTCCAATTCCTGTTCATGTTCCTTATTACAGTCACATTCAGCAACAACACAGAGTGGCTTGAAAGAACGTGTTGTTGAGGGGTGGGAACCAGTGGGTGAGGTGGGAGATAATAGGAGAGAATGGGATGAATAATATAGAAGTAGATGATATGTATGAAAATAGCATAATGAAACCCAGCAAAAACTGTTAAAAAGGAGAGGGGGAGGAGCAAAGGGGTCAAAAAAGAGTAATACAAACGGGGTGAATTTGATCAAGGTACATTATATCCGTGCTATATTATAAATGCCACAATAAAACTCCTTTGTAGCTGGTGGAGTGGCTCACATGGTAGACTACCTGCCTAGCAAGCATGAGGCCCAGTTCAAGCCCCAGTTCAAGCCCCAGTGCTGCCAAAAACAAAAACAAAAAACTCTTTTGTAAAATTAGATGCTAATTAAAAATTAAGTAAAAAATAGCATGTCTATCTGAGGAAAGTGTGTGTGAAAGAGTGTGTGAGTGTATGTGTGTGTGAGTGTACATGTATATCTGTGTGTGTGTGTATGTGTGTGTGTGTGTGTAAGCTGGCAGCTATATCCAGAAGCAGAAATGCCACTTGGAGATCTTCTCAGTGTTGATAATAAAATGCATATAATAACTGTGTCATTTCCTTAGAGATTATTATTCAAACTGCATGACACTCTGGCACCTCCAAAAACAGTTCATCCCCAAAGGATCACTGCCACAATCCCTCTGAGTCTGGTAGGCTCCAAAATCATTTTGCTAGCCTTTGAGGTAATTTACCCTCATTCACACTGGAATTTTAAAACAGATTAGTAAGATATGATGTAAAAATATTTCCAACTTCCTTTTCAAAGATGGGTTTCAGTATCCTTAGAATTTTCATTTCCAGCCAGGTATGATGGTGAACACCTGTAATACCAGCACTTGAGAGGATGTGGCAAGAAGAGCGAGAGTTCCAGGCCAGCCT